TAGCTTTTTAAAACTTCTTCCTTATCTTCTAAGTCGAAGAAAAAACGCATGCCTACACTGCGGACTATCGTCGGGTAAATATCGGTTATAAAAGTCACGTATGAACTCCTCGGGTTTGAAACCGAATTTCTGATACATTAGCATGGCTGGATTCGTGACTGATACATGGAGTGTCACGTCTTTACCCAAGCAAGTTTGAATTAAGTGATAAATCATGTAGGTTCCAATCCCCCCTCGGCGCCACTCGGGATGGACTAAAACGAATGAGATGTAAGCCTCGTTGTATTTCACATCCGGGACCATAAAGCCAAAACCGATGACAAATTTTCTGCAAGATAAGATCGAACGGCTGTTACCATATCGCAGTGAAGTGAAATGTGTTTTCCTTGACACGACCTGCGATTACATTTTAAATAAGCATTATGGATACTGCAGAGAGTTGCGTTCTAGACTGCTAGTAGCTCCGCAGTTCGCCAAAAAAAAAGCATTTTAATCTATGTCTCTTACTTGTAAAGGACAACACAGCTGAAGTCAGGATATTGAAGACATTCAGACACTATAAACAGAAACAATAAACAAAGAAAGATTTAGTATGCAGCGTAAAAAAAAACGGAGTGATGGTAATGATGGAGATGATAACGGAGATGGGGAGTGATGGCAAGGATGATCATGACGACGCTGACGATGACGACAATGGCGATGATGATGATAACGAGGATAGAGGGTGATGATGAGGAGGAGGGGGAGGAGGAGCAGGAGGAGGAGGAGGGGGAGGGGCAGGAGGCAGAGGAGAAGGAGGAGGAGGGGCAGGAGGAGGAGGAGGAGGAGGGGGAGGAGGCAGAGGAGGAGGAGGAGGAGGGGGAGGAGGAGGGGGGGAGGAGAAGGAGAAGGAGAAGGAGGAGGAGGAAGAGGAGGGGAGAAGGAAGGGGGAAGAAGAAAAGTAAAACTGAGAAAACTTACGATCGATTCCTGGCCAGAAGAACTCTCTACACATGGCGTTTACAGATGGAATATGATGCGGTTGCACGTAGCAGTAATCAATTGGAGCAACAGGTGGTGGTTTCCAACCCGGATCATTCCTAAAAAAGGAACATTTATTATACTCATTTTCAGTGGCTTTAACTCACTTGCTCTAGACGAATACACTTTGATTTCTGTACCATAACCTAAACATAACTGCTGGAAAAACACACATTTATTATATGGCTGAATTCGTGAACGGCCAAGATGAAGTCAATCCTGCCGTGTTCTGATTGGCTACTCGGGCGGAATGGGCGTATGGGCCCATTTGTCCGCTCGGGATTTCCCGCGTTGGTCCCGTAACAAAAAACTGGTCAAGATGCCTGAATATTGGCCTCGGTCCCATCAAACCACAAAAAGAAACTTGGAAAATATCCACCCATCTTGGTCAATAACGCATAGCAGTTGCGTACTGTATATAGCTGATGTATGAAAGTACACCCCGCCGTCCATCAGGGGGGATGTGTACCCCGCTCAGAGAATATAAGCCTTATACTGCATATGAAAGTACCGCAAGTCTTCACAGAGCTCCCCCCCGCCCCGCTCTGCCTCTTTTTCAGGGGAAGAAAGTTATTAAAGCCCCCACCTTTCTTTTAGCCGCCCTCTCCTCTCTCTTTATTTTTCACAACCAAATTAATAAAAGATGGATTGATCTGGTATGATTTATTCATGTGCTTAAAGGTCATATTCGTTTTTATCTTCCGCTGCAAGACCTCCAACGTCTTTTTCTTGAGCTTTTCCACTTTGCGTCCTAGTTCTTTATGGAGAATCGATACAGTAGAGCCCCCGTATCGGTAAATTCAAGGAGTCACCGCTCTCAATAAACCCTCCCCCCTCAAACGCGCTTGAAAGTCCCCCCGGGAAGAGGGTTAATAGAGGATTTATGGTAATGAATACCTGTGATAGTGAGAGACAATATCTTGCAACAGCTTCAGCTTCAAAGGTCTACTCTCATAATCTCGTCGGATAAATGGCTTCAGTATCCTGGACGTGTAGGGACTGGTAATAGGTCTGTACAACGTCTGATTATCGCCACCAATGAGCCTTGTTAAAAACGAGCAAGTCCTGGGGCGAGAACTCGGAAGCATTCGAGGAGATGCCTGGAAAGTAAAGATGAATACCGTAAATCCTCTATTAAGCACCCCCTCTCAAATAAGTCCCCTCTCTCTAATACGCACACCCCCTTAATAAGCCCCCCCCCTTCCCTCCCCTCCCCTCCCCTCCCCTAATTATTCGTCACTAATAAATGATAGACTGTATTAATCAATCACTACTGTGAAACTTCGTGTGGACTGATCCGGGATGGCAGGAGCCCATCAAATGATCAATTCAATGATCAATGATCAATTTGATGGGCTCCTGGGGATGGTTTATTTACCAACTGGAAGTTCGGACTTGTTTCCGATCCTCGGCTGCATGACCTAAATGAGCTTTTCCACTTTTTTTCGTATTCTAGTTCTTTATGGAGAACTGACATCGTCGTCTTTTCTCAGTTAAATAAGCGCCCCCTCTCAAATAGGACCCCGTCTCTATTAAGCCCCCCTCCTCGTCAGGGAAAGAAAGTTAATAAGCCCCCCTCCCCTCCCCTAATTATTCTTCACTAATACTATGATAGACTGTATTAATCAATCACGACTGTGAAACTTCGTGTGGACTGATTCGGGATGGTTTATTTACCAACTGGAAGTTCAAATGGGCTTTAAATAAATAAGCCCTCCGAGGGGGAAGGGGGGGGGAGTAATTTTAGAACAGTAAATATGGTTTTGTGAAGTTCTATTCGTGTCTCACCTGAAATCTATCGAGGATATTGTCTGTAGAAGTAAATGCTGAGGAAGCCTGAAGTTTGAGGGGCTTGACGCGAGTTTCTTCAACGACATCTGAAGATGTGCTGCGATTCTATCAAAAGAGAAACAAACTTACTATAACCAGGAAGCAAAGTCCAGGGTTCAAAGCTGGGAAGGCTGTTACGCGCAAACATGCGTGTCTGGTGGAGCTTTGAAGAAGTTCCAAATTCCAAGGCCTCCGAGTTTCCTCCTCAAAACGAAATACGTACTACATAAGGCACAGAATAAGATTAACGAGAGAATATGAGGCGGATGAGAATGAGAGAAGGGAAATCGCGTTAGTATTCTCCTTTGTTCCCTCCTATTTCCGAGGCCTTTCCAATAAATATTTTCTCCTACTAAACTGGCTGCGGTCTAGGCTTCTAACGAGACGTAACGAGAGAGAACCTGGAGAAAAAGAAACAGGAGCACTCGAGAAACACTCGAGACGAACAACAAACTACGCTTATACTCTCCCAAGGCCTTCCCAAATACCGAGAAACGAAAGGCAACGTTTAGTACTATTCCTCACGTTTGCTTACCTCAATAGGTACCGCGCCATCTGGGGTTAGCTTGTATCTCACAGTTGAACTAATAGCCTCGGAAACAGACTCGTCCAGGTCAAATAATTTCAATCCTTTAGACCTTTTTAGCTGAATAGAACAAAAGAGAATTACATTATTCACACTATCAATGCCACGTGCAGCCTTTCTCAGAGCTATCTCGACGACACAAATATCCGGCGGATTCCTGTGGACAGGGCCTCAAAAACTTTCTTGGAAATTTATTGTTTTGATAATTAAACCTCACGTGCAGTGTGTTGTTTTGTTGATTAAACTTATCATGGCACATGCTGGAATTTCTCGTGGCACGTGCAAATGTTTTGTTTTGCTAATTAATTTGATAATTAAACCTCCTCGCAGTGTGTTGTTTTGGTGATTAAACTTATCATAGCACTTGCTAGAACTTCTCGTAGTATGTGCAAATGTGTTGTTTTGCTAATTAAGGCTGTGTTCATACTATGCCGGAGAGCTTTTGCGCGGGCACGAAAACCATACAGGATAGTGCTTCCCTTCATACATAAGAACGGTGATTTTAGCGCGATTTCTATAACGGAGCGAAGTTGCGCTTCGCCGATCTCTAAAGTAGACTTTCAAAAAAGTCCTTCGTAGGATTTCAAATGGCGCGGGACGAAGGACGACCTCTCGCGACTTCGTCGGTCGCGGTCGGCCGCTTCGCGGCCAAACAAGGCTCGCTCCGCTCGCCAAGAGGTCGACTCGTAGCAAGTCTATCTCTAAAGTGGAGAGTCACATATCTGATAGGTGTTTATACTTTACTGGATAGGGCTTCCATTCATACATAAGAACGGTGATTTTAGCGCAATTTCTATAACGTAGCGACGTTGCGCTTCGCCGATCTCTAAAGTGGGGAGTCACATATCGGATAGGTGTTTATACTATATCAGATGGGTATTCGGGTCGGGACGAAAACTGTCTGGTAGAGTGTGAACATAACCTAAGTTGTCGTCCGCTTTTAATAGAGAGCTTTAGATACTAAGACGAGTACGAGATTTTCTCGAGTAAGCGCGCGTAAACCAGCGTCATTTTGGCGGGAAAACGTGATAGTTCCCGTCATTCTGCTACAAGTTGTAGCGGGAATGTCGTGTTAGCGGACAAAAGTTATAAAGTGTTATAGGTTTTATTATTTTGCGGCAGGGAGACAGCTTAACCTCCCGTTCAATCAAGATAACAGTGCTTATTTTTTTGGTGAAAAAGATGTACAATGAAGCTATCTAGGGTGTCTATTATTTGAGAATACGCCAAAAAAACTTTGTGTTAAATCTCGTACTCGTAGTCGTACTCGTCGTAAAATCTAAAGGTCTCTAATGATACCTGGCGTAGCATAAGCTTCCTTCTAAATCTCCTCGCCACTGGGTCATGGTGTACCGCCTTAGGACAGGAATTTAATCTCAGTAATAGATCCTTTTCCTTTTCCTCCGAGACCAAAAATAAGCTGAAAGCAACAAGAAAGTGTTAACGAACATCGCGTGCGGTTAACTCTTTCTCTTTAAACAGTAGCTTACACAAAAATTCATGAAAAATATGAAATTTATTTTTGTTTTTGTTGTTGCTAAAAAAAATAATGAAAACAAATTTTACCATGTGAAAGAACAGCCTGAATTTCCGACGTCCCCTCGAGTATGCGACTCGACGGACGCCGAAATTCAGCCTAGCTAGTGAGGTTTCAGTTGAATGGTCACACCACAGAATGTCAAGCACAGGCTTCAAAAGTTAGTATGAATGTACAAAACAAATAGTAACATGTGAAAATACTGTTTAAGAGACCACATTTGAATGGTAACACCATAGGATTTCGTCCACAGACACCAAAGTTAGAATAGCATACACCAAAAATAGTACCATGCGAAAGTATTGCTGGACAGGTTTCATTTGAACGGTCACAAAAAGTGTAGCATTCAGTCCGCAGACGCATGTGTACTAACCTTGACTGCGAGGTGCTCGCGGTTGTTTTAATTGGCTTACTCTTGACCTTGGTCTGGAGTGAGTCAGACTGTTGGTTTTTACTTGAAATATCTGATGTAACAGTCGATGCTACGGATTCAGTATCCTCTTGTTTGGTTTCTGAATCTAAAGGTAAAAAAGCTGCTTCAAAAAAAAATTCAACAACTCACGCTACGTTTACACGGTTTCCATAAGTACGTACCCAACAGACACACGATTAGTTTTCAAAAGTTAGGGTAGGGAATCTCCAAGGAACTAGTATGTAAAATACTCTACTCTCCGACTTCAAACATGTATATGAAGCCTAAACTTCAGCTTTCACTTAGCCTGAGTATCAGGCCTTCCTAAGGGGATAGGGGAGACGAGATTTTTGATGGGGGAGGGGAGAGGGGGGAGCAGCTCTCTCCCTTTTTCGCTTCCATCTTTCCCCTTTTCTCCCAGAAACGCCTGATACTCAGGCTAGCTTTCACTCTTCTTTTAAGACCATGCGCTGCCAGAAACTGAGCAGGTGACCCTAGTTACCGAACAAACTGGTTTACATCTAGGATAAAACTAACGAACCTGCCTGCTCCTCTTCGCCAGTAAAAAAGAAAGAAGTGCTGTCTACATCCTCAAAACTCGTTGATAAGAGGTTGGAGAAAGAATCAAATCCTGGAAATTACAATAAAAAGTAAGAAACTATAGCGAGTGATTGTATTTTAAAAACAAACAGAAAAAAGGGTTTAAGGGTTTATAAAAGTCTGGTTTTCCTCTACTTTTCACTTCATCAAAAGGTCACAGTACATCTTGTCGGTAAGGTGTTGAAAGTTCATGATCTTACCAACGGGATCTTCAAAATTGGAGATCGTATCAAAGTTCCTAGTAACAGTCCCTGAGGTCTTTACAAAAGTTAACTGTATCTCGAAAAGCCCGGTAACTTTTCGGGTCCGAAGGCAAATTTTGAAATCAACGCCTCTTGAATAGTAGCGCGGTTCCTAGCTCACAAACCGGTCAATCATGCTTCGTAAACTGATACTTTCATCGTGCCATTATCAAAATTGTTGAAACCTTGATCTTGAATGCAAACACGGTAAACATAAAAGTGCATTTCGGGCCCGAAAAACTGTCGGGACTTTCGAGAAACGGACCCCAGGAGGCGAATACACACCTGATTCAGAGTTCAGTGAGTCTAGCTCACGCATATCTTCGTCGGTAAGTAACTGTGGCATTAAGTCGTCAGATTTACTACTGTCTGTTACAGCTAATGACTAGAAGAAATTCACAAGAAAATATCATTAGTTGGTTACTGTGTAGAGGAAAAAATACTGGCCTCTTTCATATTTCTTCTATGAGATTATTTGTAAATTGTCTTCTCTGTCAGTGTCAGTTGTTTGTTTACACTGCCTTTCGATTTGAAATAACCCCTAAAATTGAATCAAAATTCGAAGTTAAGATTGTTTGTGTAAAAAGGTTTTAAGGTGACGTTTCATGGAGGACATGAGCACATGCCACTGTTTCCTTCCCACTTGAACTTAGATGACTTTTAACTGAGAACTAACTACTGCATTTAAATTCGCCTTAAAAGTGCAGTTGTCAAATTATACCAGTAGGAATAATTGAAAAGGAGTTTAAAAGGACACGATTTCACTCCATAACAAGTTACATTTTCACTAGAAGATTTGTAAATTTGACGAGTGGCATGAGAAACATGTGAGCGGCTAGTGGCAAAGCAGAGTTCAGGAGATGTGAAGTGTCAGGCTTTTTTTCAGGCCTTCAGTTGCAAGCATGGCCATTTCAGCTGTCACACATTTGCTTGATGGACTTGAACAAGAAAGTAAGATGGCTGCCTATAGTCTCTACTTCACTGCTGTCACCAGGGTGATTGCAAGCTTCCTATCATTTTAACCTTGATGTAAGGGAATCCAAATTGCCGAATCTGGGAAATGTGAGTTTTGGCATGCGGAATCCTGGGCTCTGGAGTCCAGATTACAGCTCAAGGAATCTAGAATCCCACTAATGTTTGGAATCTGGATCCAAGTTCCACTGACAAAGAATCCTGAATCCATGGAGTGGGATCCAGAATCCAAGACTGTCTTGGATTTCCTTACATGGGGTGATATCATTACATGAGGTGCAAGACACTGGAAAAGATTTGATACCTGTGCTTTGTGTTCATCATCCAGTGTAGGTTGTGTGAGTTCCATTAAAGGCAGTCCTTTGTCTATGTTTTGAGAGATCTTTGACCTGTTTCCTGAGGCTTGGTTTCCTCCTTTTCTTTTACGTTTATTAACCATACTACCTGTAGTTAAACAATAACATTGAAAGGGTCACCACGTTATAGACACACATTTGGGCGGAAATTTGTTCCTGCCTTCTGTCATGTGGCATGAAGTTTACTGAACATATCACAAGAGCAAAATGTTGCAGGTGCCATTTGCCACTTTAGACACAAGACGTAAACTGGACTGGGTTAACTTTGGCGAAGACTTCTAGGACTGTTACTATAGGGACCAAGAAAAAAATTGGCCAATAGCTAATTACTACCCAGATCTGGGTAGTGACGTGTCATCAGTATGGAATTTCTGCACTCGTTTCTCAGACGTCATTCGGTGGGGAAACCAGTGGTAGAGTTGCCAAATGTTGGCTGTTTTCTCAGGCTACCGATTGGCATGTTTCCAGTGATGAAAAGTGGCGAATGAGTATGAGTGTGTATGTTTGGGCGACATGACCTTGCAAATGAATCAATAGTTCAGGCATTGAGAAGCAGCGGCTAATTCTTTGAGTCAGTGAAAGTGTGTTGAGGAAAAGCATTTCCTTGTGTGTGACATTGTGATTTTGTCCATCCTTCACATGCCCACATCATGTTCCTATGTGTGCACTGCATGTAATTTTGTTAACTGCATATAGCTATGACATGACCTAGCAACATGACCCCTCACTATGGGTCCCTTTTCCATTATCAGAGGTTACAAAAAAGGTGCCCAACCAGTATTTTAGGGCTCAAAAAATATCTTGTGTGGTTATCCAGGACAGGCTGATTTTCTTTCAGGGTAAGTAACTTTTTAACTGCACTTGTCCAAATGGGCAAGGGTCCAGGGAACTAAGTCACCTGGCAACAAAATCATTATCTTACAAAAGCAAGCAATGGCTCTGGGCAAGCAAAATGTGCATGAGATCAGAGCTGCTTGTCCAAAAGACAAGCTAGAATCCAACCTTTTTTTGCTCGCTGTATTTAAGGACCTTTTGAGGAATACTTGGAGCCAGTTGTTCTACTCCTATTTTAAAAAAAATCAACATTTTTTTATTATTTTCATTAAGGAAAAATTGCAATGAATAAGTAAAGAAGAAACAAACCTTGTTCACGAAATTTTACCGCTGGTGCAACATTTTCCTGTAAGGCCCACCATCCTGTCTCTTTGTTAAATTCCTTTTGTCCTGACTTGAAAAACTGCGGACACCCCGATGACAACACACCAGCCACTGTACTCGCCCAATTGTTTGTCTTTTTCCTGAAAGATTAAGGCTATGTTCATGCTATATCGCATCGCTTTTGCACCAGCACAACAACCATACTGTATGTATATCGCCTCTGTTCACACATAAGTACTGTGATTTTTGAAACAGAGCAAAGCTGCACCACGCTGATCCCTAAAGTGGAGAGTCACATCTCGGATAGGTGTTCATACTACACTGGAGAGCTTTTCATGTCGGCACTCAAAAATGTCTGGTTTTGTGTGAATACAGCCTTAGGTAAATATGTGCCACAGGATACCCAATACATTAAGCTTGATACGTTTTCTGTAAAAAGAATTTCCTGGTAGATACTTGAGTTACAGGACACCCAGCTGGAGCCAAACACTGCTTGGATAGCTAGAATGAAGTTACTATGAGGAAGAAGGGCTGACTAGGAAAGAGTTGATTGTCACTACCCAGACTTTAAGTATATACACTGAAAAAATCCTTTTAATTGCTCATTAATTATTTTACACACTACCTTGAAGAATTATGAGTCCATCATAGAAGGCTAAGGATGACTAAGCAAGATTTAGATAACTGTAGGAGTATGCTTACTTCTTAGGAAATAAAACCATCCAGTTCTTGTCAATGAAATGACATATGTCTTCCCTCCATCTAAAATAGCCTTTCCGTCCCCTGCTGGTGGAGTACAGATTGTACAATGACAGGTAAACAGCCTGTATCCTAGAAAAAGACAGTGCAATCAGACCAGGTCTATCCCTCCATCACTCTTCCACCCCTCCCTCATTCCCTCCTCCTCCATCCCTCCCTCATTGACTCTCTTTATCTCTTTAATCCTCTTTCCATCCCTTTCTCAATATCTCACACCCTTCATCCTTCCATATCCCTCGGAAATTTCGTCACTTCCCTTTCCACCCCACCCTTATTTACTCAATCTCTCCCATCTCTGACCCTTCCATCCCTCAATCATTTCTTCCCTTCCTCTTTCCATCCTTCCCTAATTTTCCCTTCCTACCACCAATTGTATCTCTCTCCATCCATCCATCCATGATACATGTACCACCTGCTCCCTCCTTCAATCCTTCTTTTTTTCCTTTACTGGTACATGTATTCCTCCATTCTCTCTCTCTCTCATTTCTTCCGTCCCTCCTGCTTTTCATACCTCCCTCCCTTCCTTCACCTCTCCCTCTCCCTCATTTCCTAACCTTTCTCCGTCTATTCATTCTTCACCCCTTGCATCCCACTCATTTTATTCCGAATCCAAAATAACAGTAGCAGTTAATGGATTATTTAACAACACCAACCAGCTCAAGTTTTGTCTTGTGCAAGATTCTGAGCCTTCCACAGAACAATTTGCACATGTTAAATCAAAGAACAAATCTCCCACAAGTGCACTGGGTTTGCCACTCTTAAGACAGCCTGAAAAAAAAAACAGAAACTTTTTATTCCTTCCCTTTTCTTTCTATCTTTTTAAGGCTGAACATACCATAAAATTCCGAAAATAAGCCCTGGGGCTTATATTTTTCAAACGCCCTTCTTGAGGGGCTTATATACAGAGGGGCTTATCTACGGAGGGATATTTGCGTTTCAAAAATTGATTGGGCTAGCCTTATAGTTGGAAGTAAATGTACCGTTTTAGCTTTGTTTTACTTTGTATTTGAAAGCAATTTTCCAAGTAGAGGCCCCTGGGGGGCTTATATTTGGAGGGGCGATTTAGTGGAGGGTTTTTTGCGTTACCGGTTTGGGGGGCTTATATTTGGAGGGGCTTATACATGGAGGGGCTTTTTTTTGGAATTTTACGGTATAGTATAAAATTGTAAATGCTCAGCTGTTTACAGCCAGGATTTGCTCAAAAAGAAAAGCTATTGATCCCTTTAGCTAACAATCAGCACAAAGCACAAAACAGACAGACACACTTACAAAAAAGATATAAGTCCTTTAGTTAGCCTCACTGAACACTGTAGAGGAAACTTACCAACATGAAACAATCGTCTGCATAAAATACACTGCAGCATATTGCTGTGGACAGGAGACAAAAAAAAGGACTGTAAATAACAAACAAAGTATTAAAAGTGTATTGAAACACATATTCAGATTTTCCTGTGGAAGCTACTAGATCTTTAATCATTTCAATCTCTTGATCCTTGCGATATGCTTACTATAAATCTAAGGCCAAGGAAAGGAAATTATTACCGAAGGCAACAGGCCTTTACCAGGAGTACATTAATCTTCTAAATTATCACCATTCTTCTTTCTAAGACCATAAAAGAAACACATACACACAAAAGAACAGTATAGATAATTAGGGCTTCAAAAGATGCAGTATTGCAGACTTACCTGTCCTTTGTCCCTTTGCAATAGCAAATCTCTTCCACAGATTCATATTCAGTTTCCTGTCCAGGATCTATGACCTGAGAAAAACATATGATATAAAGCTACATGTATCATTCTCCACCCTACATCTCTGACCCTTTTGGCCAACGCACTGGAACAAGAGCTCTAGATGATTCTGAAATGGGAAGTCTTCAAATTGTACAGCCTCGGAAATTTGAAACAATAACTTTTTAGTTGAATTAAGCTTCAACTTTCAAGCAAACCGGAAACGTTCCAGAACTGAAATGATCCGGAAAATTTTTTCCGGGCTCATTTCAATTCATTTTCTTAACTGGATGAATTTAGTACTATGAGTGAGAAAAAACAGTCCAATAACTAAATGAATTCTAAAGGGTTTTAGACAAGATAATTAACGGCCAAATCTCTCGAGCACACTTACCTCTTCAGACATATTTTCTATTTTCGTAGCCCCTTCACTTGTTATAATACAACACTTTTGATTGGTTAAGATTTTGCAATTAAAAAGATTGACCAATGAAAGGACTTCTTATATTACTTCTTGCTATGCTTAGCAACCGAGCCTGGAAAGGAAGCTTCTTTCATGAACTAAAATTTAGTGCTATTTCCGTAAAGAAGGTTGGCTTCATCTTGTGGTTTAGATGCCTAAAAAGTGTTTTTCTCACTTCTCTAGCTACGGGAAAGGATGCTGATGTAGTCACGTTTCATATAAACATGTAATTTATTTCAAGTATTGGATGTAATCAAGGTAAATTGTAAGTTTGTATATTGTTTTTTCTTTCGGTGTACTGTAGCATGTAGTCGGCTGTCCTTATGTGTTCAATATAACGCTTGTATAGATTTGGTCACGTATTCATAAACTGCCTATATGTCCCCATGCATGTTTTTATGAATGCCCGAAAAAATGTCTGATGTCTTTTCTTTTGACCATCTATCTCGTATAGAGAACTATGTTTTTTTCTACCAGGAAGTGCGCGCATTTACGGTAGAACAAATTATCCTTGACATTATACCACAGTCTCTTTAGTTAAGCGTAAAAGGCTTTGTGCTGATTTCCTGTTTTTCTCTGTTCAGGGCCGAAAGTCATATCCTTATATCAGAATAATTTGACACATACTCGTTCATATCATTTGCACCGTTTCGAAACAAAAAGCAAACGCAACGCAGACAATTAAGGGCGACTGCTCAAGCTTATTATTCAAGTATGTTACGCTTTAAATGAGAGAAAACAAAATCTGTGTCTCAACGTGACACTTGTAATTCCCAATATGACTGTTACTCGTTATTTTGACCTTGATTTTCTCCTAAACAAAGTGCAAGTTAAAGCTCACTCCTGACTCGCCCGATTGTCATATCTAGATCTTATGATTTGCACCCAGGGGGAAAGAGTCACGGGTAGCTGGCAGATTCTGAGACTATCAGACATCTCTCTTCAGCTAAATGAGGCAAGCCATGCAAGCTATGTTTTTCCCTTTATAGAATTTGCCAAAAAAAAAATAATAATAATAACACCATGAGAGTGGGCAAAAAGGAGGATGCTAATAATTTATTGTTGTCATTAACCACACAGTGATGCCAGCAAATAAAAGAGACAGTTCCACCATTGGGCATTATTTATTCAGGGTTCTCATTAAGTACTGGCAACTGGCTGAAAAACCAGACTCTTTAAGGTCTGAGCCGTCCACTTTAGGGGGAAAGGGGTAAAATGAGAGAATGAAAGCCTCAAATTGTCCACAGAACTTGATCGCCAAACCTCCCATTTTTACATCCTAGCTGTCTACTTTAAAACTTAATGGGAAACCTGTTTGTTGTGTCTACTTATTAAATCAACTAGTGAGCCACACGCACTTAGGCAGGTGGACTCTGTCTTTACCAAGACTCCTTTGCTCTAGGGATGTTTTAATTAGAATGTTGCACTAATGCTCTTTTCTGTGACTTTCTTGTTTATAGGTTCTTGTCATTAAGTGAGTAAATGAGAACACCAAATGGCAGATCCCCTTTTTCAGCATTGGTTTCATGGTCGCATAAGCCGACAAGATGCCGAAGAGCTTCTCGTCCGTGCTGGCAAGCGTGATGGATTGTACTTGCTACGTGAAAGTACTGCTTCAGCAGGAAGCTATGCTCTGTCTATGTGCCATAATAATAAGATAATCCATTATCACATCCAACGCCATACAGATGGAATGGTGGCTATTGAAGATGGCAGGAGATTTCCTGGACCAGTTGAGTTGGTGTATCATCATCAACGTACTTTGGATGGACTATTGACCAGACTTACAGAGCCGTGCAATCGCCTCCCTGGGGTACCCCCTAAAACTTTCTCTGGAGCCAATCAGGAACACATCAAAGGTGCAGCTATTGCTGCTATGGCTTCAATGGGATTAGAGGTTTGTTTTATGCACTAGTTGATAAAGTGTTATTAACCCTTTAAGCCCCAATATACATGTACAAATTCTCCAAACTGATCTCTATACATTTCCGTAAAGAATGAGTTGAGACAATTTGATAAAAGATCAAACAATTTTCTCTTAGGTGATCAATTTATTAATTCTCATGACCTAACGTCTTGACATTTTATGTAATTTGTTAGGAGAAAATTGATGTTGGTCACTATTGGGACTTAAAGGGTTTATAAGCTTGCTCTTTTTGCTCAAAATCAACAACTTTATGCTGTTTTATTTTCTGTTGGAGGCCCCCTTTTGAAGACTGTGATTTCAGTATTGGGATATTTTCCACCCAGCTAGTTGGTTCCCTGCATCGTGAAACCAATAATTCATCTATCTGGACTGGTTTAACTGTCATTTATAGTGAAATCTCAAAGTTGATTAATTTTTATGTATTTGTCATGCTTATGTTATTGGCTTCTAAATTACAAATTCTATCCGTCTAGGATGGTGATGAAAGCACCGCTACCCTTATGAGAGCTAAATTAGAAAGTGCTATTGGCTCTGTCATGCACAAAAGTCAGCCGTGGTTTCACAATGACATTTCACGCGATGAAGCAGAAAGGCGTCTACAGGTGATGGGATTGCAAGATGGAATGTTTCTTATCCGTGAAAAAGACCCAGGGTTTGTTCTTGGCCTTGCTCATGAAAACGCTGTTGTGCATTACTTGTTTGATGTTGATGCACTTGGAAAACTGTCAATCAAATCTGGCCCAAAGTTTGATAACCTGATGCTAGCGGTCGACCATTACACACAACGAGAGGATGGTTTGCTGTGTAAATTGCGTGAACCTTGTAACGCTGAGCTGTTTGATGGTCGGCGGAGAACCCCTTCAACAGGAACTCGTCCTCCTGGCCTATTTGAACAAAGAAGATCACCCAGCAGCTCCCTTAATGAGAACTCGCCTTTTGCTTCAAACCCTTTTCTGCGTGCCGGGTCAGGGACTGGCGCTATGGTGCCTGATATAATACGTGAAGGTACAGATATTTTGAATGTGTTTCTCAGGGCCTCTGATATTTCGCGGAAAAAAAAGCAAAATTTCGCGGGATTTTCAGGGGCAAATTCGGGGAAAAATCGGCCGATTTCGCGGGATTTTCGCGGGAGCGAAGTCAAAATTCGCAGAAAAATCAGCCGATTTCGAAGGATTTTCACGGGCAAATGCTTAGAAAAATCGGCAAATTTCGGGGGGAAACTTCGCCAAATACAATCAGTAAAAAACAGCCGATTTCGCTGGATTTTTTTTGGCAAATTTCGCTAAAATCGATCAATTTNCCCAGCAGCTCCCTTAATGAGAACTCGCCTTTTGCTTCAAACCCTTTTCTGCGTGCCGGGTCAGGGACTGGCGCTATGGTGCCTGATATAATACGTGAAGGTACAGATATTTTGAATGTGTTTCTCAGGGCCTCTGATATTTCGCGGAAAAAAAAGCAAAATTTCGCGGGATTTTCAGGGGCAAATTCGGGGAAAAATCGGCCGATTTCGCGGGATTTTCGCGGGAGCGAAGTCAAAATTCGCAGAAAAATCAGCCGATTTCGAAGGATTTTCACGGGCAAATGCTTAGAAAAATCGGCAAATTTCGGGGGGAAACTTCGCCAAATACAATCAGTAAAAAACAGCCGATTTCGCTGGATTTTTTTTGGCAAATTTCGCTAAAATCGATCAATTTTGCATCGATATGACCAGCATTGTTTAACGTTGTTTTTTTTAACAGGGATAATCATTTGCTCTTTCAACAACAGTTCGCTCGAGAAATGAGCGAATGGTAAAGCTATTAACATTATGGTTAGTGCCCAGTTTTTCGCAACATTAATCTAAGAATGCCTGGTAGTTTTGGGACGTTGTTTACTCGTTGCAGTGACGAAGTGAATAAAACAGGTCTAATGGCCAAGATAAGTATTAAATATGTTTTGCCGACATGTATTTGGAGATATTTCTGGCGGATGTCACGTTTTTTGGGAATTTCGCGGGTCCGCGACCGCGCGAAATATCAGAAGCCCTGGTTTCTGTGTAGGTGTACATGTATGCTGTACGTGAAATTACCACTTACAGAGCTTCATTTAATCATCTGTGAAACCCTCTTTGTGTTTTACTCCAAATACAATAATATACATATGGGAAAATAAAAATAATTGTTATTTGCTGCAGTTCTAAGAATAGCAGCCAATTATTGTTTTCACAACTTCAACTTATTAACAGCTGTCATGAAGACTTAAGTATAAAAGGGCAGGATTTTACTGAGGTGATCATTCTAAGCTGACATCACTGTTTGATTGATTTCATTTGTCAATGCTCGTTGATGTACTCATAATTTTGTATTCTAGTTCAACCTCTCTCCCTCGAGTGTCTGGTCCTGCTTTCAGTAGAGTTCAGGTTTCCTCCTTAGATAAGGGGGTTTCTCCTGACAGGCAGCAAACACAATATCATCTTTATTCCATTATTGATCAAAGAACTTTACTTTAGACCTTGTTACATTTTTCCTGCTTAGCTACCTTTGGGGTAGCTAAGTGTTTGTATTTGCATAAATAAACAGGGACTGATGTTTGCGTTACGCTGGGCTTCTTTCCAGTGCCGCAATCAGTTTTCCTATTTACCACCGTTTTCCTTGATACGCGACTTTTCAAATCGAAACACCCGCTGAAACGTTTCCAAAATTTCCGTCAATCATACACGTCATACCATATATGGAAGTGTTAATACCTCCACGCGCGACAGAAAGATGGCGGATTCGACAGATAGCTTCGAATTCACCAGTCAGTACAGTGAAATGTTCGAAGATAGATCCGTCGAACTACCAGATTTGGAAGAAACACAAATATGGGATAGCCCAAATATAAGACATGCAATATGTACCTTTCTTAGTGTAAAGCCCATTTTCTTCAATAGCTTAGCGATCGTGGACACGTGAATTGTCTTTCCCAGTGCGAACTGTATCCATTCCTGTATTTCATCCTCGTAAATCTCTGGATATTGCTGGATTACCCTTCTTATTAATGACACGTCCTGTGCTAAGTCCAGATGAGGAAAACAATGGTTATGTATTCGTTTGATACAATTAGGCTCATTTAGAGAAGTGATTACAAAAACCTCAGTTCAAATCATAAGCTTACTTACCTTCCAACTTTCTCACTCTACCCAGCCGTGATTGATAATGAACTGTTTTTGTGTTCTGGTAAAGATTTCGAATCTTTTTTACAAACGTCTTCCCTACGTGAAGTAGTCTAGCAACACGTTCGACAGTAAATCCCTGAACGAGTAAATACACTACTCGCCAACGCAAATTTAACGAATAACTTGCCACCATGTTTACATGTAACTTCGACCAGCCGCCATATTTTAAATGTTCAGGCCCAGTCCAACACTTCCATGTATATGGTATGACGAGTATGATTGACGGAAATTTTGGAAACGTTTCAGCGGGTGTTTTGATTTGGAAAGTCGCGTATCAAGGAAAACGGTGGTAACACAGAATGATTTATTGTTTTTTATTGTTCACCCAATAGAAAATTTGGTAACCAATAATGATACATGCACAAAAAAATGTGTTTCACCTTGTAAGCTGTAATTTCAACACCAAACTGTTGTCCAAACATCTCATGGTAATATTAAGAATCTGTTAAACCAAGACTTTTTTTTTTTTTGCTTTTTTAGCCTTTCCAGGACCTTCTTCACCAAGGAATGTTCCTCCACCACTACCTACTTCCCTTCCACCAGGCAGTAGGAATTCAGTTGGACCCCCTCGATTACCACCCAGACCAGTTCCTGTCAGTCCAAGAGGTCCAATTCCACCACCAGTTAGTCCTGGTCCTTCAGTTGCCACAGATGGAAGAAGGATGCCAGGTAGACTAAAATTTAACATGTACTTTATTTGAGTGTCAATGTATTTAGCACTTAAGTACTAATTGAGAGCACTACTTTCATGTCCCCTACTGGAGATGGGACCACCATGTTATGGGGTCATCTGGGCCTCTTGAAGGTCTAGCCGTTAGCAGGGCAAAGGCAGACTACCTTCATTTCTCAGTTTTTTAAGGCGCCAAGTATTAGTCCAGCCCCAGGAATTGAAACAATGACCTCCCTCTCTGCAGTCAAGCAATTTACGGACTAAGCTAATATCTGCTGTGGGTAAAGTTATTAACTGCTGTGGTTAAGATATTAGAGAGTTTAAGCTTCACATATACGGCAAACCGCAAACATCAGATTCAGGTTGAGAATTTCTCAAAATAGAAAAAATGAGCAGATAAAAACATGTCAGAAAATTTTTATGGATAAAAAATTGTGTGAAACTACTAATTTATTTTTAGAAATAATAAACAGTAGGCGACAAGTAAAGGGGAAACTTGGTCACATGGTACAAATTCGTGTTTCGCTTTTGACGTAAACGTGATGCCTAACCTCTCTATTAACCATTTTTCTTTTGGATTCTTTGATGGAAATGGAAATGTATGTCTTTAGACTGCACATGTGCTATTAAGTAGTTTTGACACGGTCTTTTCGTTGTTCTTTTTCGGTTCAGGTGCATCTGGAGGTGCTCAGTTTGAGGCCATTTATGACAGCATTAAGATGAAGAAAAGCTCTTTTTACTTCAATCAGTTTAAAGATGTTCAAACTCGGAAGCTGAGGAGTGAAAATTTAAAACTAGAAAAAGAGTTGGGTGAGTATATTTTGCAGGAAAGTAGAATTAATTTTGTACTTTGATGTTGGGATTATAGGTTGAAGTGGTAAAGGTTTTTATCCCTCCCAGCTATGTCCATTGCTGTCACTCAGCATGTTTATAAGTTGACATTTGTAGTGAAACAAAATGTACAGGATTGCATTACTAACCAGGCTGAAAGGGTGAGAATAGTTACTGTATTATTTCCTTGGTATCTTACTTTTTTCTTTGTGTTTAAATGCTGACATTGTTCTTATGATTTTGTTGTTTGTGTTTTTAATCAGGTCATGGTAATTTTGGCTCTGTTCTCAAAGGCGAGTACACTAAGTTAAATGGAGAGTTGATTCCGGTGGCTGTTAAGAAGCTGAAATCTGAGGAAATGAATAATCCTAAGGTACAATATTATTTAAACATGCATTTTGCATTCTCAGACATAATTTAACTTATACATATACAGGTATGCGTAACTACTTTCCAAATCATTGTAGTAAATGTTATACCAAAAAAATTAAGGTTTTTTTCTCATTTTCTTTTAAGGCTGAAATTATGCATGAAGCTGAAGTTATGATGAAACTGGATCACCCAAATATTGTTAGAATAATAGGTACTGTGTGATAATATTAGCATTTTAATGACTTTGTTAAATTGATTTTGTAGCTTTTGACTTCTTTGCAGGTCTGCATGGTATAGTTAAACTGATACAGAAAGGTTGTTATATGAAAGAGTAGAGTATACACTGTTTGTGACAGTACATTAATGATGTTGTCTTTGATATCATTACTGAGCCTGTGAATGCAAACATTTTCTGGTCATCACCTCTATCCACCTGAAAAGTATTGTCAGCAGCCCTGTGATGTACATGTAAAACCTTTGTTTTGTTGTTGACCAATCCAATTAGAGGATAAAATAATAATAACGTAAAGATCAAGTGACTTCTCATGACCTTGCATGCTGGTGTGTCTAGGAATTTGGTAAGATTTTTTAAAATATGCTTTGGAACATAAATTTCAAGATTTCTTATGATGGTGAATGCTGCTTTCTAATTTGTAGAGTAAGGGTTCTAGAGCTATGGATAAGATTTCTTCTTTGGTTTTGCTCAGAAAAATCGGTGTGTATTAATAATGTGTCATCTTTGTTTCTTCACCCGTGGGGTATGGCAGGTATTTGTCAAGATACAACAGTGATGCTTGTCATGGAATTAGCTCCAGAAGGACCTCTCCACAAATACCTCAAGAAACACAAGTAAGTAAAAATTGGTTAACCCTTTAGAAGCCATTTATGCAGCTCAACAGAAAATTTTTGTACTGTTTATTTTATTTTCAACTACGGCTTTTTAATTTATTGCAGAAGTCTACCAATGTTCAAAATCTTTGTCATCATGTTACAAGTTGCAGAGGTAAAGAAATGTCACGTAAACTGAAGATTGTAATAAATATTCAAACTTCAGGATTTTGTGTCACAGGCACAAAAATTAGAATAACCTTGTACTTCATAACGAAAAGAAACACAGGAAAGTACTTCTCAGTAGCTTTCATTGAGATGGTCACATTTTAAGAATACATCCACAGACTCGAAAGTAAGAATCATCTTGTACAGGATAATGAAGATTACCACAGGAAAGTACTGCTCAGTAGCTTATGCACCTACACTAGGAGTTAAAAAGAAGGTAGGACTGTGCATAAGTAGAGTTTCAAAGCTTTCATTCATGAAGTGTAGTTGATTAGATGAAAAATAAAATAACAAAATGTAATCATGATCTTTTCTTTGCACAGGGAATGCAATATCTTGAAAACATGCAGTTTGTGCACAGGGACCTTGCTGCAAGAAATGTGTTGGTAGTCAATGAGGATTTTGTGAAAATCAGTGACTTTGGAATGTCTCGGGCAATGGGAGCTGGTACTGACTACTATAGGGTATCTACCTACTGTATGTTGTGCCCTTGTTAGAAAGCCAAGGACCTAAAAAATTAATGTAAAAGAAAATGTTGTCTTTAACACGCCATCCGTGCTTGAATTTCATGGATTCAGAAGTTGGAAGTCCAGAAAAATTATCAAGTTGTTAAGCACACTATGACAAGTATGTCTTGTACCCTTTTCTGACTGTAACAATCTGTTATGAAAATATATCGATATGTAATGCCAACTTCAAGTCGTGTGGACAAAAGCCTATGTTTGTTTGCTGTGTACAGTCAACTCTCGCCTTGCGGACACCCCGCTAATACGGACAGCAGATAAATTCCGGGCAAGAATAAATTGCAGACATTTCACTGAAATAAACTCCCGCTATTACAGACTCCAGTCGCTACAGAGGACACTAACTTAAGGTCCCTATAGTGTCCGCTATAAAGAGAGTTGACCGTACTATGTGTTCGTTTTGGTATAAGCCTTCTTCTTCTCCAAAGACTTAATGAGCATATTTTTTTGTAGGCGGGGAAGGCTGGAAAATGGCCTCTGAAATGGTATGCACCTGAATGTATTTACTACCGGAAGTTTAGCAGCAAGAGTGATGTGTGGAGTTATGGCGTGACGCTGTGGGAGGCAACTTCATATGGGAGGAAACCTTACGATGTACGGTTCAACAATTCCTTAAATTGACCTTATTCTCGTTAAACGTGTTTTAGTATGATGATTTGACTAGTTTGTCACACAAAACAATGATTCTTTATGTATGAAACATTATTTACATATTGTTTGTCACGGAATCCTACACATACTGACAGTCAGGCAAACAGGGAATTCTCAGACTAACAAAGTTGTAGCCTGTCCATCACGAACGCGGGTAAACAGGGTTGTACACCTGTAAGTCCTTAGCAAAGGCTTATTCACATTATCAGATTACCACTTTCGTATTGTCAGTCTATATCATCTTTCTTGCTTTTAAACAAACTTCTAATTTATTGCACAGACTTAAACGTTATCGTAGTACTGCACTCGGGCACTCGATAGTTCTTTAACCCTTTAAGTCCAAATACATCCTCGGAGACCCAGGGGCAGATATTGGGGACGAGGGAAAGTGTAAACGGGCGGAGAAATGTGGCACGAAGAAAAGTAAAGAACGGCGAGAAGAGCCCTGGGGACATTGTCTTACCAGACCAGTTCCAAACGGTCGCCGCCGTTCTGGCTTCTGATTGGTGCCAGAAAACTTGTGTTTTTCTGGCACCAATCAGAAGCCAGAACGGCGGCGACCGTTTAGAACTGGTCTGGTAAGACATTGTCCCTAGGGGCTCTTCTCGCCGTTCTTTACTTTTCTTCGTTCCATATATATTTTTCCGCCCGTTTAGACTTTCCCTCGCCCCCTTTACCTGCCCCTGGGTCTCCGAGGATGGTCCCAATAGTGACTAACGTCAATCTCCTCCTAACGATATCCATACAATGTCAAGAGATTAGTTTATGAGTATNTGTCACACAAAACAATGATTCTTTATGTATGAAACATTATTTACATATTGTTTGTCACGGAATCCTACACATACTGACAGTCAGGCAAACAGGGAATTCTCAGACTAACAAAGTTGTAGCCTGTCCATCACGAACGCGGGTAAACAGGGTTGTACACCTGTAAGTCCTTAGCAAAGGCTTATTCACATTATCAGATTACCACTTTCGTATTGTCAGTCTATATCATCTTTCTTGCTTTTAAACAAACTTCTAATTTATTGCACAGACTTAAACGTTATCGTAGTACTGCACTCGGGCACTCGATAGTTCTTTAACCGTTTAAGTCCAAATACATCCTCGGAGACCCAGGGGCAGATATTGGGGACGAGGTTAAGTGTAAACGGGCGGAGAAATGTGGCACGAAGAAAAGTAAAGAACGGCGAGAAGAGCCCTGGGGACATTGTCTTACCAGACCAGTTCCAAACGGTCGCCGCCGTTCTGGCTTCTGATTGGTGCCAGAAAACTTGTGTTTTTCTGGCACCAATCAGAAGCCAGAACGGCGGCGACCGTTTAGAACTGGTCTGGTAAGACATTGTCCCTAGGGGCTCTTCTCGCCGTTCTTTACTTTTCTTCGTTCCATATATATTTTTCCGCCCGTTTAGACTTTCCCTCGCCCCCTTTACCTGCCCCTGGGTCTCCGAGGATGGTCCCAATAGTGACTAACGTCAATCTCCTCCTAACGATATCCATACAATGTCAAGAGATTAGTTTATGAGTATCAGTAAAATGATCACCTAAGGGAAAATGCTTCGATCTTTTATCAAATTCTCTCAACTCATTCATGAAGGAAATGTATGGAGATCAGTTTGGAGAATTTGTATGTGGATATTGGGGCTTAAAGGGTTAACTTCTATGAACTGGTCTTTTGCAGGGTCTCAATGGACAACTCATCCTGGAACAGATAGAGAGTGGATACAGACTGGAATGCCCTGAAGGCGTCCCGCAGAATGTGTACAGTATAATGAGAAGCTGCTGGGAGTATCAGTAAGTACAATACACCAGCGTTCCAAAGTTATTCGGCCTATCACAGCCGAAAGACCTCAGATAACAATGACCTCAACCAGGTTTGCGTCCAGCCGTCCAGCGGTTTTGGTGAAAACAAGGGTTTGGGTAGGGTGCTCAGTCTGGCGGGCTCATAAAACCTGATCTCGGTCATTTTCATCACTCACAGCACGAGCTTAAAATCAAATAAACCAATCACATCTCAAAGCAAGTGCATGTAGCCGCGGCAAGCGCGGGAAACCCATATACGGCGCGGCCTTTTGTGCGGGAAAACGCGTGTGTGCAAGTAACGATTGTTTTTTATTTATTTCTTATTGGTTAAGAAGAAGGCGCAAAATTTTCAACCAATCACAAAGCATAGCAATGCAAAATATAACCACCCATGAATTTCAACGATAGTTAAGTCCTCAGAGACAACGTCAAATGGGTAAACTATACGCGTTTCATCGCTCGGCCCGTCGAGAGAAAGGCGACTGTTCGAAGTTAACGCAAGACAAATAAAGTCATCTCCCTCTCAAATAACTGGCCAGAACACCAACCAGATTTTTTTTTGTCCACAGTGAAGAGAACAGGCCGACTTTTAGATTTCTGGCTCAGGAACTTGCAGACGTTCTGATGGAGTTGAAAAATAACAATGGGCACGGGGATGAACATCTTTAGTGAAAGCCCTCTCTTCAAACGTACCCAACTTCAATGTAAAAGAATATTCCCTACCCTTCCAGTGCTAGTGTATAACGCCCCGCTCTCAACTTTGTTTACCGTTTATTGGCGTTCAAAATGGCGGACGGAAGCTCATTTCCAGGAGTTTCTCCGCCATTTTTAACCTCGAGAAGGCGTGAGAACGACGTTGTGAGTCGAGTATCGATATCGGTCGTAATAGATATCAACACAGAGTCACGTTTACTTTTAACCGCATTTCCCTGTGTGTATTATGAGCAGTGATATTGTTATTTAAGCAGTCTCTATAGCTGTTGACTTACTTACTTACCTACTTTTTTTTTTACCAAGAAATAGCCTTTGATTACTGCCTAACACCACTGTTTGTGAGGCCATAGTTTTCGAAATGCCTGTGTGAAGGCTAGAGTTCGAAATACAAATTCCGTAGAAACGACACTTTTTTAAGAAACAGGGTTTTGTTTACTGCGCTACACCATTTTTTTTGAGACCATAGTGTTGAAAATAGCTGTAGTGATGGTAAAGTTCTAAAAACAAATTCCCGCGACACGACACTTTTTTTCCTTTTAGAAAACATTCCACCCCCCCCCCCCCCCCCCCCCCACGCCTCCAGAAAAAACTCTTTCGCTTCTAGAAGAAAACTCTAAATTCCATTTTAGATTTAAGATATAGTTTCTCAGGATAACCAAAGCTAATCGAGTTAAAATTTAAAAAGTACAATGTAATAATAGACGTAGTAATAGTAGTTTTCTCGTTAGGTGGTTACTGGTTACCCCCAACAACAGTTAGACTTAGAATAAAGTTTATTAATTAGAACTTTGTATATAAATTTGTAAGTATTTCATAACCTTCTTTTACTGAATAATTTTAGATAAATAAGGTTCACTTTAAAGTGGACCCGTGATTGACACTTGATCTTACAGAATTTTAAGCCAATCGAAACAAAGGGCACGTTTGATTGTTCAGCACGTGAATAGCACGTGACAGAAATGTTTTCAATTTGCATATTTCCCTGGCAAAGGAACAACAAAACTTACCAATAGACCTTTGTCACGCGGCGGCCATTTTGTCTCAGGTGATTTAAAAAGCTTTGTTTATGCACGGCTAGCCTCGTAGAGAGAACGAGGTTAGCCGTGCATAAACAAAGCTTTTTAAATCACCTGAGACAAAATGGCCGCCGCGTGACACAGGTCTATACGGAAGTCTCGGATGCAAAATTACAGGTGAAAAAAAAAAGACTTAAGAAGCAATAAAAAGGTGTAAATTTGTTGTTCTTAAAACTAAAACTCAGTTTTTTTACACTTTGTATTGCATATGCAACGTAAAAAGACTGGACAGAAAGATTATAAAGTATTTCAGTGCCCATAACAGCATCTGTAATCGCTATATTCGGCACTTTTAGAAACGAGAAAGAAACTGTACCGAGTTAACATTCGCAAAGACTTTGGGCCAATAGCTGGCTGAATGGCGCGCAAAAATGGCGCGTCCCCAGTAATGATCCCAGAAGTCTTTGCGAAACTATTTTGTCCCAATGGGCCCGTTTCTCGAAAGTCCCGATAATTAACAGGCCCGCAAAGCTGTTGTTGTTTACATGCAAGATAGAAGTTTCAATAGCTTGGCATCTAACATGATAAAACTATCAGTTAATGAAACAAAAGGCAGTAGTTTGCTAGCCAGGATCCGCGCTTTTATTCTTGATATTTTGATTTTAATATTTGATTTCGGGCCGGAAAAGCTACCGGGACTTTTAAGAAACGGGCCCCAGTTTCCTGTTTTAAAGTGGCAAGGTTTATGAGTGCATATGTGTTAACCAAATTTAGTACCACAGTAGGTATAAAATGGTTAATGAATATATTAAAATTCTGATAATGACCTTTAGGTTATCTGAATAAAATTTAACAAGCTCGCAATTTGCTTTTTGTTTTTGATCATTCTTCGTTCGATGATCATGACGATGATCATTACGTAAACCGCTCGCTTTTTAAGTGAAGCTCCGAAAACCGGCACCTTCTACGCGGGCTAAGAAGACAACTAAGAGAAGTTATTAGTGACTATTTTATTTCTAGTTTAACTCTACCCGACTCCCCCTTCCTCTTTTAAGAATATTTTTTGATTCGTGATTCAGCGCTAGGAATCCAGGATCCTACTAACGATTTGAATCCAGAATCCAAAGTCCACTAACAAGCCATCCCGAATCCACAGCATGGGATCGAGCAAGCGGAATCCAAGACTTTCCAGAATTACCTCCCACCTTACAACTTACAGTGCCTGTAGTGTAACTATTCAAATGGACGCTTTTGATTGACCTGCCGTTTCCTGCAATAGTTCTTTAGTCTGGTGTTTTAACACCGACATTTTGTCAAAGGCTACATTTCCCCTATTTGATCTCTTATCTTATTCAACTGAACTATCTCCTTTCCAGTGAACTGACGATGCCTTACGGCCGCTGCTGCCGTTGCTCTTTACGCTTTTTTCACTTCCCCTACTGCTGTTACTCAGTCGTTCGTCGCGATCGTCCCCGCATTTCGCTGGCGATTTCTTGGATTTTTCTTGAGTAATGCTTGATGAGCTTCCTGGGGAAGAACCAGTCTCTGCGCCGCTCTCGCTCTTGGCTTTTCGCTCTTGTACTGCTGTTGTTGCAATTAGACATGAATAAGTTAATTTTCATCCTTTTTCATTGCTAAAAATTAACTCTGCTGTATGTTTGCCAAAACTTTTCACACATGAAAACCCCAAAAATTAAAGTACAAACTTCAGAAAGCCGGGCACTTTGAAAAAACCGTCAAAATAGGTCTGAATGTAAATGAGTGACGTCCTTAAAGTATTACTCTATCAGTCAGCCCTTCACGTTGCTTTTCGTTCCGTGTTTCAAAGGCTTTTTCTTTAACACGGAACATTATGTTGCATTCAATTGTGGCCTTTCGTGCGTTGGTACTAACTAAAGACAGGTTATTTTTATGAGGGTTTGATACGCTCTAAATATCTCTGCTCTATAAATGATATGAAAAATTGATGACCTCCGGCTACTTACCTGTCGACAAAGCAGAATTCGACAAAGGTAGAATTTGCATATTAAATATAGTCAAAAAATGGTTGAGATATTCTATTATCTTCCCTTCTTCACTTACCTAGTTTATATTTAAGGCATGCAACTAACTTTTCATAATAGTTTATGCTCTCTCTGAGGTTTCCAAGAAGATGATAAATGTTCCCCAAGCTAGCGCAAGCTTTGCTTTCTCCATCCAAGTCTTTTAGTTCTTTCGCAACATGTAGTCTCCTCTGGTGATAATACACAGCTTGATCAAAGTCATTTCTCTGCTCGAAAATGTTTCCCAGATTATTCAAAAGTTTCGCTTCTCCTAGTTTATCGTTAAGCTCCTTCACAAGTCGAAGCCCTTCTTCGTAACATTCGACGGCGCGATCTAAGTCGCCGATGCGTCGGTAGGTACAACCTAGATTACAATACGCTCTCTTTTCCGCGCGCTTGTTTTGTAGTGACTTTGCAATATTAAGGTGTTTTTCATGACAGCTTCTTGCGTCGAAGAACTTTGACGCTTTGTAATACAGTATTCCTAAGCTGCTCAATGCTTCTCCCTCGTTTGCTTTGTCTTTGGACTTGTTATATGCTCGGATTTTTCGTTCGTAATGTTTGACTTGCTCACCAAAAGACTTGCTATTCTCTCCAGCATTCATAGCACCATTTTGGGCTTTTTCTTTTTCTCCCCCTATGAACTGAATATCTCCATCTTTTGGTGGCTTCAAAGGCTCATTGACTGCATTGATCCCCACCTGATTCATTTGAGAACAAATGTGTTCCCAGCAAGTTTCAACTCTCAACTATTACGCGACAAATCAACTCCACATATTATCTAAACACTCAGTGGGTTTGGGCGCCTGCCAAGTTTACTGAATTTAGAACACCTACATGCGCAAACTACGCAAATTCCGTTTATACAAATCCGCCATTTACGTAATATCCTCCAATCTCGATCAAGATCTGATTCTCAAAAAGCTTACGATTTGCTCCTATTGACCTGAGATAAAAGCAAGGTATGGTATTATAATGCATGGCAAAATAGACAAAAAGCTATGCGTGATTTGGGACCTCGGATATATTCACAAACTGAAGAAATTAGTTCGCTTATTAGGTCAGTGCTTACAATACACTATCAACAAGGGTGACGAAGATTAACTAAGATTTATAACAGAGATTACAGTAAGAGGCCATTTCCGAGTTACCCTAAGCCTATGTTTCAAAGGACTCTCAAAGCGAGGGTAAATGCGAGAGTTATTGGATCAGAACACGGAAGTGGCCATTTTCTTTAAAAAAAGAAATGATTTTATTCTTCACCACTTCTCCCTTCTTCGGTCACAGTTTAATTAAGGTTGTACAAATCAAGTCAAATCCAAACAACAGTTTTATTTTATAGAATAATTTATTACAAAAAAAAAAAATTCATATTTTGAAATATTTTACAGCCGCAACGGATTTCTAAACCATCGCTAAATTTTCATTTTTCTGATATGTTGCTATTGTTGTTGTTTCCTGTACCTTTTAATTTGGTTAAATAAACTTATGAATATAATAAGATACTAGTCTTTTAAAGATTAATTCTACTTTCACAGCAGAAAACTAGAGTTTGAATAACTCGGTCTCGGTTAGTTGCATGCCTTAAATATAACTTTCAGAATTACTAAATTCCACGCACGGTCATAATAAAATACACTAAGATTACACCGCAATATTTTCTGGATTTCCAAGAGTTGCTAAGCTCTTCTGCGATTTAGTAAGCGTCAAATTAATCTTCTTTTCCATCAAATCCTGTCGTATTTGCTTCAACTCCTTCTGGGCTGCGTCACGATTCTAAGAAAGAAACGACAATAAATGAATGATGGGCCAAATCCAAACGAAACTGATCAACTGACTCGGTTGGGGGGAGGGGGGTGGGTAAGGATGCGCTGAAACACAAAAATTTGGCTTTATCAACTAAATCTAATCACCGGTAAAAAAGATTCATAAGCTACCGTCTGGGCGCTACTTTATCAGAGCGAGTAATTATCATTAGCGGAAGTTACATTTTATTTCCTTCAGAATTTTTAAACTTCTTTTCGTCCACAATCAACAAGAAACAAAACTCCCAAAACAAAACAAAAACACATCAGTTTCGTTTACCTTCATTTCAACTGTCAGTTTCATTTTCAATTCTTCTATTCTTCGTCTAAGCTCTTCAACTTCGTGTTGTAAGCGAGCAAGGGACATGCGCTGGTTTGTCTAGAAAAAAATGCAGATATCATGGTCAACAATAACATTGGACAGAGTGGTTCGCAGACACGAACGAGACTAATCTGCTGGAAACCTTTTTTTGCCCAGGTCCCCTATGTCAACCATACCACAACCTCGTTCCCAGGGGACAGAAGACTGGGAACGAGGTGGCGGGAAAGATGCAGGCACGCGACAGAAACTTGAGACTTCAGAGACTTGAAAAGTGACTGCCGTAGATATTTCCTTTGACGAGGTGGTTAGGGAAGCCCAAATAAGGCCGCATTGAGTTGGATTGTGAATGCACTGTGTGATGAGTGATGGCACGGTAATCAGGTTTCCATCCCAGAAGAAACGTCCTTTGGGCATTGGGTACTATAACCTGAGCAGAAGGAGCTGGTACGTCATTCATGTATAAAGCGACAATCAGCATATTTGCCAGCAAGTGACTTCTTTAGGAGCTACTCGTAAGCTGCAATATCGCTAAAAGGTAAGGCGAAATTCACTGGCCCAAACTAGAGACTTGAATAAGAAAAAAACAAAAGCAAAAAAAATGTACAGATATTAAATGCTTACCTTTTCTGATGGTGACTTGTAATCGCCTCCGCCTCCTCCTTTGTTACCCTCGCGCTCTATAAAAAAAGATCCACAATGAAATCATGTATAAAACAAGAAGTGATTAATGATTTGCCCTAGATTGTTAACCTATTTTCTCGTAGTTTTATTCCAAAAACGCTAGAACTGTGGTGAAGGCTCGGCCCATTCCATTGCTCCCAATTTGTAGCCATCTCATCCTTCCAGTTTGCTTTGTAAAGTAGATAAATGCGCCCTTATTGAGGATTTACATATGTAAAATACATTAAAGAAACCCTTTCATATATTTTTATATTGAAAAACGTCTTGATCAAGCCATACCTTTGCTCTCTAAGTACGACATGAGAACTTTGTGCTGCACATCAACTTCGTGCCTTAGTCGGTTCACTTGGTCATCTAAACTTCCGGTCTTCCTTTTCTCTTCAAAAAACTTCTTTTTCCAGATGTTCTTGGCTATAAAGAGAATAAGGCGTTATTCAAATAAAACTTTATTGACAGAATGCACTGGGAATTCTAATGTAAATATTTAGTGCTACCAACTAAAAAACTGACTGAAAAAAGTCACTGAAATGCTGATAATTGACAACCGTTAGCCCTGTATACCCAAGATTCACTTAAACAAAGAGCTACATGTAGCACTTCAACATGTCATCTTCATGCAATTAAACCTTATCAGATTAAAGGAGGTTAAAGCAGTACAGTCAACTCTCTCTCAGACGGACACCTTTGGGACCGGCACGAAGTGTCCGTCTTAGAGAGGTGTCCGTCTTATAGAAAGTCAAATAAAGGGAGTAAAGAAAGGCAGGGACAACTATAAGTGTGCGTTTTACAGTGGTGTCCGTCTTATAGAGGTGTCCGTTAAGAGAGAGTCGACTGTAGTCCAATTTGTCTCCCTATTTCCATCCTTGGCAACTCAAAGGGAATGTACATGTAAAAGCTAGACCCAACCATACGATGTTGTTTCGAAAGATCATGCACAGAGGGCATATAACTTTTGTAAAGCAGCCTGCTGCCTGCAGTAGTACCGTGCAACTCTCATGGGTTCAGTGGGTAAAGGGAATAATGCAGGCCTACAGTAATTACAACAAGCTGGCCTGGCATCCATGGGAAGTTTGGGAATGCTAACAAAGCCAAATCTCAAAGGCATCAACCTTAACAAATTAATGCATACATACATTGGTTTCTCTTTTGCAACATCTGATTCTGTAACATCTTTGCCCGTCGGACTTTCGACTCTCTCTCTTTCTCCATATCCACCCTGGCATTCTTTGCTTTCCTCAGCTCTGCCTTCAATTCTTCAATCTCATGACGTTTTCTGTCCTTCGCTGATGCTGTGTCCTTCTCCATTTCTTTATCTCCTTTCTTTAGGTATGTCATGGGAGGTGGAGTCGGCACCTTGGGTATCTGAGGTATTTTAAATTTGTCTTCCAAGATCTCTGTAGGCTTCTTTGCCGGTTTTTTTGCCACTTTCTTTCCTTTAGAAGCATTAACATTGGTATTTCCCCTTCTGCTATCTTTCTTGGTACTGTCTTTGACATTCTTGATGCCATCTTCGTCAGCTTGTTCATTATTATCCTGTAATTTTTCATTCACATTTGCTTCATCATATGCATCACCATTCTCAGCTACACCATAATCATTGACGTCAGGCACTGCAACACCTGGGTCATTACTTTCGGCAAATCCATCATCCCTGCGACAAACAAACATTGGAATTAACAATCAACTTACTTAACGAGCAAGACTGAGGCTAGGGACACTATGACATTCAGAGTTGCAATCACCAGATGACTTAGATACAGTCAAAACTCCTGCAGGTGACTATCCAAAATGATTACTGGGACTAGTTACTTTGGATAAGTGGTTGCTATTAATAAGAGGAAGCTGCAAACAGAGGTTGGACTGTATTGAGTCACATTTATTAATAAAGCTTAAAAGGTGGCTACTTTTTATTGGATTAACTGGATGTTTACCCCTATTTGAGGTGTTGCAAAAAGTATTACTGGTTGCATGTTGTTTGGTGGTGTGATTACTGTTCAGTGTCTTTCAATGAATCTTTTTGTAGTTTCTTCAATGGTGTCACAGACAGGTGCAGTCACCAAATGACATAATACAAAAGATTGAAAAGACAAGGAACAATACCTACACCAAAAAAAAAAATTTAAGCAAACTTAAAGTATTTTCTGCATCACAAAAAGAAACGCCCAGTCTTATGTACTGTCACCAAGAAAATGCACTATCACTAGGAAACGAGTGACCAACATCAATTTTCTCCTAACAATATCCATACATCACCAAGAGAAAACATTATGAGAATTGATAACATGATCACCAAAGGGTAAATGCTTTGATCTTTTATTAAATTCTCTTAACTCATTCTTAAAGGAAATGTATAGAGATCAGTTTGGAGAATTTATATGTGGATATCACGGCTTAAAGGATAAATAGCTGATGTGCCCATCTCTATGCTGTGCAACCCTTCAAACCTTACTCTTTACTAACTGTGCGCACACTCTCATAACTGGATTTCTCTCACTAAAACCCTTACTAATGTACCCAGTCAAAACCACCTACATGATATCATGTGATCCATTAACAAGATGATTTCCAAATCCCAGTTCATTTTCGTCAAGTGTAACTGGTCTTCTTGAACCTTTTGCAGGTGATGGAAATTGAACAAATTTAGATCTCTCTTCGACTTCAATTAAAGTTGGAGGTGTTTCCCTGCGACTTACTGTGACTTCACCAAAAACAGCAGAACTATTAACATCTTCAAAATTCTCTTCATTAATCCCGGGATAATCAGCTCCTTTCAAAACTTCCTGTTCCTTCGGATGACTCCTTTCAAGAGAAGGAGAACGGGAGCGATCTCTCCTTTTCTTTTTCCCTGCTTTTGATTCACCTTTTTTCTTTTTGTCTGGCACAGGTTCATATTCCACAGTTTTACTATTATCACTATTATTTTGATAATCAAAACTACTATCCTTTCTGGGGCCACTTGTTGCCAACTTATCCTGTTGAGCAGGTAATGGAGAAGCTATGACACGCCCTGAAGGAATAGGTGTAGGTGGGGAAATTAACGCTCCATTCTGCCCAGGAACAGGTAAATTTTGCAAAACTTCAGGTTGAATAAACTTAACAGTCCTTGCTTCTGACTGATTGCTGCCAGATGAGCTATCACTCCCTTTCTTCTGCATTCTTTGCTTCTTTGTTTTGGACAAAATACGTTCTGTGGAATCTTCATTTTCATCCATGTTTTCCTTTCTCTCTTTCTTTCTCTTCTCATCCAATCCTGTCACCTCCCCAACATTTCCGCCTCTCCTTTCATCTAAAGACTGGTACCTGTCACCAGTTTCTTGATCTGCGTCACTGCCACCTTCATCTTCAGACATTGACTTAGAAGACCTGCTGCTCCTGCGAAAAGTTTGATCCACTCGTCCAGACTGCTGGCCAGGTGAATAACCACCTGTCAGCATGTCTGCATGAGGTTGCTGCATGTATCCTGCAGGAACACTTGGAAAATGTTGAGGCTGCATTGATGCCATTCCCGCTGAAAAAGAATGATACTTACTTGTAATCACAACAAAGGAATGTTTTGAGCAGTTCCCATTCACAATGATCTAGCTATAGGCACATCAGGATCTGAAATTACCTTTTTTTTATTCGTGTGCCAAGAGATGACTGAATTTTTTTTTCAGTTGCCAGATGGAAAAATTTTGTCAAGAAACAAGAACCACTCACAATAAGTGCCATTGCACTTGACATTAGAGACCAATCCTCACCATCATAACCTCACGTACTGTCTGATGACAAATATAAATTCCTTTTTGTTGCCAGACGAGGGCTATACAGAACGAGGCCAAACATCATGATTATATTTCTACCAAGTGTAAATACACTGTGACATGAAAACAATATTTCATGATAATATACAGTGTTACTTCATTGATACACTCTCAAATTAATTCCTATAATGATATTACCTGTTGTCATTCCATGAGTCTGTATTACTGTATTTGCAGCATTTTCCACTGGTTTTGCCACAGAGTCATGTGTAGCAGGAAGAATAAATATCTCTGGTGTATATGACTGAAAAAAGTAATCCCTTTTGTTAATTTTTTTTTTTCGGCAAATTGTAGAAATAATCCTTCCAAATTTAACATGTCTGTAGTGGCTCCAGACTGTTAGCTAAGTTAATAAAAATAAGGTGTATGTGTGACTTTCTAAGGTTTGCTGAAACCAGGCTTAAAAATCCAAGAAATTATGTCAAGTAAAATTCAAAAATCCAAGACTCACAAAAACAAGGCAAGAAGACAAGACGTTAAGGCTGGGTGAAAAGCTTCTAAAACACTTGATTTTCTAGAAGGTCACCATAATGCCACCCTTGAATGATAAAAGAGAAACTATTTCATCATCCTTACCACAGGTGGTAAAAAGTCTTTTGCTTTGAGAAAGCGTTCTTGATTTTCTTTCACCTAAAAAGATGTAATTTTAAAAAAGTTAAAAAATAGACTTCAAAGAACTAAATGAATTTACACCAAGGCACCACCAAGATAAACAGGATACAATAATATTAGAGCACTGCCTTGATCCACCAGGCAAGAATAACAGCAATAATAATAATAATAATAATTATAATTATAATAATAATAATAATAATAATAATAATAATAATAATAATATCAGTTACTATCTATATCTTGATATAAGCGAGAATGACTTATATTACGACTGAATAATGTAATATCACTGACTGAATTCGAACGTTAGTTTAGTTAAAACACATATATTTGCACAGTATAATTACTGTAACTGCGGGAAATTTTTACATATGTCACATGAAGATTAAGAAAAGGAAATTACTGAACTATTGTAGCATGAATTATGAAAAGAAAATATGACGTGCATTGAAAACAGCTCTATAACCTTTCATTGTTTCTTTTATAAATAATGCACAGAGAAGATTGGAGAAAACACTTCAATTATTAATAAAAACGTGACAGTCTATCCAAAAAGTAAATTAAAACCATCGTCGTTATTGTTTGCTCGCTTGGCAGATGTTTCCCACTACTTTACGAACTGAAGCAAATGGATATTTAATAAACCGATCGAAGGAAGACAAGGGCGATGTATTATTCCGAAAAACAATAGTGAAATAATACTTAGTTCCCATGAAATAAAAACCACCTTTCTGTTAAAAGCTTTAACAATACTATAAAATAAATCTTTCATCTGTCTAGATTGTGAAAACTTACCACGGCCATACATCGACCGACAGAACGAAGAAAAACATAATCTTCTGGCACTAACTCCGATCCTAACTGCTCCTCAATATGATCTCGAACAAGGCTGAGAGAAATATATGGTTGTACTCTAAAAATATAAAGATAAGGTTCAAGATGTGATGCTTCATACCACCATTACATAATATTAAAAATACAATAGCCCCAGGAAATAACATTACAAGCAAGCCTAACATGTCTGCCATCGCTAAAACGGATCTTGTATGGCATTAACAGCTTAAAATTAGGCTTACTTTTTCCATGCAAAACGGCAAATTACCTGACAAAACCAGCCGAAACGGACTCCAGCGCAATATTGTTGAACGCTGTTCGATATTTTTCCAGCCACAGCTCCAAGGGAACGACAAATATGTGTAAATCGGCCAACTATGAAACAAAGTACGAAATGCATGTGCTCGATCAATTTCACAACAGATAATACAAGCGGACTTTAGAGGGAATTTTAGCTAAAGATAAACTTCAATTACCTCGTCTGGTAGTCGTTGTAGACTGCTGTGAGCCGACATGTTTAGCAAAAGTCAGATCTAATCAAAACCGGTCATCTTTTAGCTAAGAAAACAGGGAAATTATTATCAGACCACTCCGTTTCAATCACTGTTGTCAAGGATTTATTTATTGCCCTCTTGCTGTTGTTAATCACGTGACGCGTCCTGGTGACGTCATTCCAGTCGTGCTCTGAGAAAAACCTGATTTGATTGGTTGGAAATAAGTCTAATAAAAATGAAATTCCTAGGAGGGCTCAAATATTTACTCAAAGGATCAACTTTAGTCCGCCAAGCAGATTTTCAGATTAAAGCGGCTCTTAACACCTATTTACGAAACGACGATGGTAGATAAGTGAAATTAAATTGTTTCATTGCTTCTGATGCTCAGACTTGCATGGTAATTCTTGAAAAAATGAACTGAATGTTAAAAATTTCACAAGAAAATACAATATTATGTTATAAACTTGTAATGAAAAAGGGGCAAAGTCAGGTGTACCGGTGCCAATAGGTTCTTTGCATGACTTGATCACGTGATTAACTTTCGGTAAACACGAAAACAGTTCTCTTTTGAAAAATTTTGTTAGCACAAGCTGAAAGAGCATATTAAAAATAGTTAATCTAAGAATTTTCAGCCGTATATCTCAAAAGTGTCGATTGCAACGGCCGCCGAAAGTTGGAAGCATTTGTTGTACGAGATTTTGCAACACAGTCACGCTTGCATGGTTTCAAATTCTTGTAATTTCGAAATTTTCAAAACTGTCATGAAATATTTCCTTAAGCATTACAGGGCTCAAATCTCCTTTTAATTCATAACAGACAATTTGAGCCCTTAAATGCGCAAGAGAAAGATTAAACGACAGTTTAAAAAAATTTTAGAATTTACAAGGATTTGTATGGAAAACCATGCAAGCGTGACTTGGTGGCAAAAGTTGTTTTTCTCATACAAATGCTTCTAACTTTTAGCGGCTGTTGCAATCGCTACTTTTGAGATATACGGTTGAAAATTCTCATATTACCTAATTTTAATATGCTCTTTCAGCGTCTGCCAACAAAATTTTTCAAAAGCGAACTGTTTTCGCGTTTACCAAAAGTTGATCACGTGACAACAGTCGTGAAGGAGACTGAGAGGGAGGGGAGGGGAGGGGAGGGAAGAGAACGGATTATTATCCGACGGATTTTTCGATTGTGCTCTGGGCTATAGAGTTTTTTCTTCTTTTTCAAGCGGTATTAAAACCCACAAAACTAAACCTTCGATGGTTGTTGTTGTTCTTGAAACTCATTTCGAGGAAGAGGAAGCCTTAGCAAAGTCTTCATCAGTATAAAAAAACTGAGTAAGATACCCTTCGACGGTTTTCTTTAACTTTTGACGTGGACAAGTCAGGGCAAAACCGTCAACTCCGCTGGAAAGAGCGCCTTTAAATTAATAAAATAGTGATTTCTCGAAAACTTACAACTAATAAAATTGCCAAGATTGAAAGTAAAACGTCTTAAGCGAGAGAAGGAATATAGCTTCTCAAAGACGCGAAGTTTTACAGACGTTTGTAAGGTGGGGGGCTTTCAAACTTGACAATTTTACATGCCCTCTTAATTTGAGACGACACAATCTTAGCAAACTAAAAGCAGCTCTCGCCTGTAAAATATTTGATACTACGATCTCCACTATTCTAACAAATAACAGCGAAATTTGGGGTGTGTATACCAAACCAGATTTTAAGACCTGGGACGGCTCACAAATCGAGAAGGCGCACCTTCAATTTTGTAAATGATACTCGGAGGTAAACAACAAAGCTTCTAATATAGCTTGTAGAGCAGAGCTTGGTCGTTTTCTTTTAAATATCACTATCAATCAAAAAATTCTCAAATACTTTTTGTTTATACAAGCTAAACATGAAGAATCTTTCGTCAAACAAGCTTTTTTAATGTCATTTGACTTAAACTGTAATGACAAAAATGGCACAGTTCCACTCTCATTTAATGAAGATGTCAGAATACTTTAAGCTTTCTGACTCTAACCCTGATTTATTAAATATCACCGTGGTAAAAAGCTATGTAACTTCAATGAAACAGGAATATACCTCATTTTGGCAAAACACCCTTCAACATTCTCAAAAAGTTGAATTTTATAGATCTTTTAAAACCGATCATACCACCTTTAGTTACTTAGACTTAAGAGGAACAGCTGCGAGAGGAGAAGGGCTTTAGTAAAACTACGAATAGGCAATCACAAACTAATGACAGAAATAGGCTGATACAATCAAACTACGAAGAATAATAGGCATTGTCCATTTTGTGGATCCAATCTAATAAAAGACGAAGTTCACTTTCTTTTTCAATGTCCTACATACTCTATGACTAGGAGTAAATTTTACTATAAAGACAAGACTCTGATTTCAATTATTACTCAGTTACCTATATATAATCGGTTTGATCAACGAACTGATGAATTCCATACGAGCAAATAGGAGCATTCAGTATCAGGAGCCATTATCCCGATTATGGCTCCTGATTTTATTTCATTGGAAAAATGAAATTGCCTAAGAAAGAAACAGTGCATCCAGCCGGGACACACCCTCATCTCATTCTGTCAATTTCCATCCGGATTTCCAACCCATGGATAATGCTTAGGACAGGGGCGAGTACAGGTCCACAAGTAATGCGAATCACCGGGGAAGCTACAGACGTTGGGAGTGCTACAAGCAGGGGGTGGGGGAGGGGAGTCACATTTCCAAGGTGAAAAATTTTCGATGTCGTCAAGGCTGACTGGTGTTTTGATCCATTCAATGACTTGTTTGATGCCGACCATCCACACGTCTCCCTGAGCGAGCTTATCGTGAAGGAACTTTTTCATTGCTGCAAAAACAAAAAGGTTTAAGAAACCGCAGAAAAAGGATAAGGTCTTTTCGTTAAACAAGTCGTTCACCTTTTATGATTCCGACATTTTCTTCTGTTGTAGCTTGCGTAGCAGGAGGGATTGTTAGCGCAAGTAAAGTTTTTGCAGAGGAGCTGCGAATCCGAGGGGAGAGTGGGGAGAGAAATATGCTTCAGTGATGCTTTCAGTAAAAGAACTGAAACAACTTTCCCTACAATTTGGAGTATAGATAGAACACCTTAAGGCACCGCTGAGAAATCCGTTTTCATAAAGATTGTTTTGCAAGCGTTCCTGCGTGATTATGTCGGTAACTTTTAAAAAAAGACACTGCATGGAAAGATTACAAAAAATGTTTTCTTGCAAATTCAAACACAAAATATGACACTAAGAAGGGCTCTCCGCCGGTCACTCTATTTCAAAGAGTAATTTAATCACCAGCTTCAATAAGCCTTGAATGATCTTTGCTTATACAAGGAAAAAAATATATTTTCGCTCCTCATTAAACAAGAGTATATTTCATTGACTTACCAGAAAGTGTATATGGATATTTCGCGAACCAGACAGCGTGCATGAACATGGGAAATGGTGCTCTGTTGGAGTAATAGTGTCTATCAAAGTTTCTGGACAGCAGTTCATACGTCTCCGGCTCATTAGCTGGCGCCGAGCAGCCGTCGATCATATTACACGGTTTCCCTTTTAAATCTATGTAATCAATCATAGGAACCTCCCATAGACCTGGGAATGAATCTGTTGAATAAATGATTAATAAATTAGTGAAATCCATACAAAACAACAACCACAAAAAAAACTATATAAACGCCGTCTGGCGGCTGTTATTGGTCGTGATGATGATGTTGGTGGCAGGGAGATTGCCGTAAAATTGTTGATAACTGTTTTGCTTAGGCCCAGTTCAGACGCCGAACTTTTCACGAGCCGAACCTAATTCGAATCAAGGCTGACACAAATTGTTTGAACCGGCTGAATTGATTCAGACGCTGATCTTAATTGCAGCTGAACTAAGTTCAAAGGGCGAAAAATGCTCATTTCAGTCTAACTGCTTACAAAATACGTTATAATAATTTATGCATTAGCTTCGGTTCGGGAAAAGTTCGGCGTCTGAACCGGGCCTTAGTTTGCTTAGCTCCCGTACCTCTCATTTCGGCAACATCTCAGTGACGACGTACCCTGTGAGCAGAGGCCCTTCGATCTTCTTAGACAAGAAGGGCCTCTGCTCGCGGGGTAGAGACGATAGGGACTGGGTCCCACTTTTCCGCTCGCACCAAGTGGATCATACGGAACGGATCGACTGCTTCGAAGTTTGGAGGCCTAGGAACTGGTTAAAAATGACCTGCACATAACTTCACGGGGCTATGTTAGTGTAGTTAAACTATGAAATCTTTCTTTTAGAGAAAGAAGCCCTGATTTTCAGCAAATTCTTTCGACTGTTTGAACTGTTTGAGTACGCCAAAATGGCGCCGTTACGTCATGAGCAAACGCCCCATATTTGGGGTTAAAACTGATTTACCAGTCGGGCAAGGTGGAATAACACATTCTTGTGTTGATCGATATTCCAGGGTGTACGGCCACATAGGAGGGTTAATAAACTTCTCCGTTGGCATGGACGAATCGTAGAGGAAGTGATTATCATAAAGAACTTGAAACATGGTATTTCCACCAATCTGTAGGAACGGAACACGGAAACCTACGACGTCTTCCGTTTTGACTTGACCCCATTTCCGTAGTATCTCCTTCTGTCCGGCTATTTCGTCATTCAACTCGCTGTAGTTAGCCGATTTCCACCACGAAGTTGGTGTCCTGTGCGAGATGGTGTGGTCTGCAATGTCGCTTCTGTTATGGTAAAGTGCTTGTACCATTTCGTACTGTGTATACTCATGTGAGACGAAGAAAGTCGCTGTTGCCTTGCAGCCGTTTGGATTTTTTAGTGCTCCATCTCCAAACAGGGTTTTATAATAGGGATTGACCTGTAACAAAATGAAACTAAATTAAGCCAATGGCAAACTTTAATCACATGAAATCTGTAGGACCTTGGATCAATTTTAAAAGCAGGTTTGATAGCCAGTAGGGCGTTTCTGTGCTACGCCCAGGAGAAAGACGGCCAGCGACACCAGGTAACAAAATTTATACTCCATTGATGACTTTTATCCCTTTTAGTTTAGACATTTGTCGTAAGTTAGTTTCCTATGCAAACCCTTACATTGCAATTTTAGGAGCCGTTAAAAAATATTTTCTCTCGGTATAGTCTGGCCCTGAGGAAGGCTAATTATTGGCCTATAATAAATCAGCCCTTTGCCGTAGTGCCAGCCTTGCATTCAGTTTTGTTTCATTTTACACATCAAATGACGTCTGGCTACAGCATCTCTTTAATTAGAGATCCAGCAAGAGGAACCAGTCAGTTTTATTTACGCGTTGCGTGGACCTTCGCTTTCAAACAGTTTTTCGTTATATTGCGCTTGGGCTTCCCGTGGTGCCATCTGATTACGGGGGTAGCGTTATTTCCCCCTAGAGCGCCCTTTGCTCCGATTTCACACTTTCTCTCCATCTCCAACACCTGCATCGATCCGTAAAGCACTATGTGTAAGGCAAATCAGTACCGCACTGGGAAAACAAGACTAAAAAAAAGAACGGACTCACGAACTCGACACGAAATCTTGCCCACGAAACAAATTGTGCAACATGATTAGAGAGAAGGGAATCTGGAACGTGATTACATCTCAGTTACAGGTCAGGATGTCAAGAAACGAATTAGCCCGGCGGTGTCAATAAACTCACCAGTGCTTGAAGATCGAGTGACGTACACTCCTGCATGCATGTCGTTGAAAGCAAGCGTTTTGAGTAAAAACAAAATAAATACTCGATTACAAATTTCCAGAGACTATCCACACGGAAATGTTTTCTTTCTCCATTTTTTTTTCCTCCCGCTGACTTTGAGAGACGAAACGACAACAACGATTGGCAAATCTGCCACGGATCAAACCTGAGCAATCAGTGTCTTGTATGCACCTTTCGTAATTAAGCCCTACAGAGAATTTAACTTACCTGTCCGTTGACGGCATCGTCGAAAGACAACATGATCATCTGGGGTACTTTTTCTTTCTGCAAGTTTCCAGGTATGTCTGTGCCACTGCACCGACAATCTGGGAGCTTGCAAACATCTGGCGAGCACGGTTGAGCTGGTCCAAGACCTCGACGCTTTACTGCTGCTCCAGTTGTACCACTTACACAAAACAGGAGTAAAGCTAATGCGACATTTGCTGGCCGATTCATCATTCTGCTCGGCTTTTGATTCTGCGATGCTCTTCTTTGCTTCAAGTAAAACAGTTCATCCACACAGAACAAGCACTGACTTGTGCTATTTAGTTTGTTTCCTTGTTTCGGAGAAAACTTCCCTGGGGGAAATTTGCGTGCGGGGTGATGTCACGTTAAGGTCCTTTCGGACGGTCTCAGTGGGGAGGAGGGTGGGGTATATATTCTAGAGGTAGAAAGTTCCAACCGATAAGCTATTTTTCCTTTAAACGAGGCCAGTGTTTATCTTTGGTTCAATTTCTATTTTTACTCGAAATATGTGAGTGCGTAGTAAAAGTAACACCAAGACACGTAATGTTTGGTTAACTCTACTGGGCATGACGTGACACTGCGGAAGTGCAAATAGACGATGATCCAGGTCTCAGGAATTTTGTAATTTCGTAACATCCTATTTTCAGCGATTGAATACCATAATCACGCGCGCACCGCCTTGGGTGTGTGAGTCTTATGCTTTGAGCTATTAGCTGACGCATTTCGAGAAATATATAAATAAAAATAACCTAGAATCGATGGAAGGAAAGAAACGACCATGTGAATGCTCATCTGCTATTTTAGAAGTCCTTATGGCAGATTATTATTTTCTTGAGAACTTCGGCACTCAATTGGGAACATCTTCGGAAATATTCAGAACGTCTTCGTATCTGTTTGGGTCCTTTATTACAAAATCCTGGCTTTCTCGGGCAAAAGACAAAGCTGGCAAGTATAATAATGGCGGGTCGGTGGTTCCACCTGTACTCTCCTCTTCTGCCTTGCCGTTTTCCCTCGCAACTGATATCGCCGATCAAGCAAGCGTACCGCAATCACAGAACGCTTTGTTACGGCTCTCCAAGGACGTCTCCTCCGGTCCGTCTCCATCGGTCCACGCAGGAAAACTGATAATCATTTGCAAAAATAAAAACAAAACAAAACAAAACAAAAAATATTTTGGAAGAATACTGTGAAAATATATTAAGTTACAGGTTGATAAAAGACACGACCTTTTTTTGAAAAAAAAAAAAAATGGATGGTGACCGTCACTTCCGGCTTGTATCTAGTCTTGCACCCTCTATTTCGAATATTGAGCTGAGACGGACTAAAAAAATGTTCGGTTGCTTTTCTTTGTGGAAAAAGAAAAATGGTACAAAATTGTGAGACAAAATTGACAGGTGGTAACAACAAAAGCAACAAAGATCTAGTGGCATCTAAAAGCTAAAGTTGCTCAGTTCAACAGTTTTCAGCGCCCGGCTTAACCTTCAGTAACCTGGGCTAATTATAAGTTCCTTAGAAAGATGTCGTAATCTCTGTCAACTAAATTCAAATAAGAGAGGTAGCGGAAAATAGGCTATAAAGCTGAAGACAAGTCTGGAAGCAGAACACATCATCTTGGTGGAAGTGTGTCATAAGTCACGATGTCTTCATTGAACGTTGCTGTTTCATTTGCTGTCGCACTCAATCTTTTTTTGCAATCATTCGTTCTTGGCGACCCTGCAAAACCCTGCGACCGAGACATTTGCAAACTTCCTGATTGCTTCTGCAGTGGCACTGAAATCCCTGGTAACTTATCCCCGTCCTCCATTCCTCAGATTGTCTTCGTAACCAGTGATGCTGCCATCAATGCAGCTGATTTTTTCGACTACGAGAAGCTCTTTGATGGAAGCTTGAAGAACCCAAACGGATGCAATATTTCGGGAACATTCTTTGTTTCTCATGAGTACACTAATTATTGTGAGGTTCAAGATCTTTACAGTCAACGTCACGAAATCGCTGACAATTCGATCTCCCGACGGCTTCCTATGCCATGGTGGGCAAATGCTACAGAGGAAGAACAGAAAGAGGAAATAGGAGGAATGAAAGAGATTCTGCGGAAATGGGGAAACGTGAAGGCTGAAGATGTGAAGGGTTACCGAGCTCCGTACATCCAAGTGGGTGGTAACACGGAGTTTAAAGTACTGAAGGATTTAGGCTTCATGTATGAGTCTTCAATGCCAACACAATCGTTTATTGATCCACCCCTATGGCCATACACACTTGACTATCGCTCAACGCAGGAATGCGAAATCCAGCCCTGCCCAACAGGTATGTAATATCTTTATTTGATGAAGCAAGTAGCCCCCGGACAAATGAGNGACCCTGCAAAACCCTGCGACCGAGACATTTGCAAACTTCCTGATTGCTTCTGCAGTGGCACTGAAATCCCTGGTAACTTATCCCCGTCCTCCATTCCTCAGATTGTCTTCGTAACCAGTGATGCTGCCATCAATGCAGCTGATTTTTTCGACTACGAGAAGCTCTTTGATGGAAGCTTGAAGAACCCAAACGGATGCAATATTTCGGGAACATTCTTTGTTTCTCATGAGTACACTAATTATTGTGAGGTTCAAGATCTTTACAGTCAACGTCACGAAATCGCTGACAATTCGATCTCCCGACGGCTTCCTATGTCATGGTGGGCAAATGCTACAGAGGAAGAACAGAAAGAGGAAATAGGAGAGATGAGAGAGATTCTGCGGAAATGGGGAAACGTGAAGGCTGAAGATGTGAAGGGTTACCGAGCTCCGTACATCCAAGTGGGTGGTAACACGGAGTTTAAAGTACTGAAGGATTTAGGCTTCATGTATGAGTCTTCAATGCCAACACAATCGTTTATTGATCCACCCCTATGGCCATACACACTTGACTATCGCTCAACGCAGGAATGCGAAATCCAGCCCTGCCCAACAGGTATGTAATATCTTTATTTGATGAAGCAAGTAGCCCCCGGACAAATGAGCCCCTTTACAGGTGGATGTAGAGGCAGTTTGTTATTGATAGGGGGAGGGGTGTGGGGGGGCAAGGAATCATTAGGAAGTCAAGACAGAATTGATGGTGAATGATTGCACGAACGAATGAATAAATAAAATAGATAAGTGAATATAATGTATAAATGAATGAATGGGCGGATGGATGGATGGACCAATCATGAAAGAACGAACGAAAGGATGAATAAATGAATAAAGATAAAGGAAGGAGAAATGGATGGATGGATGGATGGAGGATGGACGGATGAACGGTACACATAAACTGAATAGAAGAAAAGCACGTATGAACACTAATTTGTTTTCTTTATTTTCCGTCTCCCTTCAGATTCTTTTCCAGGTTTATGGGAAGTACCTTTAGTTGATTATTACGATACAAAAGGAAAACTCTGTAATTTCGTTCTTTCCTGTACACCGCCTGCCTCAGAGGAAGAAGTCATCGAACTGTTTGACTCCAATTTCCAATTACACTACACTACCAACAGGGCGCCATTCTTCATGCTGCTTTCAGCAGAATGGCTTGAGAATAGCACCTACCTTGGAGGTTAGTTTTACATATAATTTATGTGTGGGCTTTCTTGGGTGGTTGCAAGGATAGCCACATTAGCAGCAAAGATTATAAATCAATTTCCTAATTGAGTCAACAAAGCGCAATCATAGCTCCTCCCATGTAAAGTAATTCAAGCCACTCGTAGATTCCGGATTCTTTGTCAGTGTCCTTGGAATCCAGATTTCTTGTCGAGCTGAATTCTGTATTCCGAACTCCAGAACCCCGGTATCCACGAGCAAGCACTTCTAGGTTTCTAGAATCCGGGGCAACGTAGAGTTTACGTAAGCTTCGCGGTGCTTCCATGGTTTTATTAATTTAACCCATTCGCTCCTGGAGATTTTGCCGAAAAACGCGTTTTGAAGCTAGTCGAGTGGTTTCCTGGTCACTGTCGTGCTATAAAGAGCTAAAACTTACCACAAACCGGTTTACAGGTCGTGCACTTCGCGGCCTTCTGATCCAGATGCAAAATATCAGCTTGCGAAGTTCGGGCATGCGCAGAGAGCAAAATTCGAGATAGTTTTTGGGTTTAAAAGTGACACAGCAGTCTTGACTTTTACTTTTCGCTTTCTCTCCTCCCTTCTTTTTTGGCTTTTCTTGCCTCAATTTTTTTTCTCTTGCTGGGCATTTAGTAGGCTTCATTTTGGTGGGAAGAGTTTTTAGGAAAGCTTTTAGGATCTTAGGATTAGGTGAAAGGAAAGGTAGGTGGGCAATGGAACAAGATTTTCGTGGAGATTTTCAGGTCAANTTAACCCATTCGCTCCTGGAGATTTTGCCGAAAAACGCGTTTTGAAGCTAGTCGAGTGGTTTCCTGGTCACTGTCGTGCTATAAAGAGCTAAAACTTACCACAAACCGGTTTACAGGTCGTGCACTTCGCGACCTTCTGATCCAGATGCAAAATATCAGCTTGCGAAGTTCGGGCATGCGCAGAAAGCAAAATTCGAGATAGTTTTTGGGTTTAAAAGTGACACAGCAGTCTTGACTTTTACTTTTCGCTTTCTCTCCTCCCTTCTTTTTTGGCTTTTCTTGCCTCATTTTTTTTCTCTTGCTGGGCATTTAGTAGGCTTCATTTTGGTGGGAGGAGTTTTTAGGAAAGCTTTTAGGATCTTAGGATTAGGTGAAAGGAAAGGTAGGTGGGCAATGGAACAAGATTTTCATGGAGATTTTCAGGTCAATGTCAGGTGGTATTTTGCTTCTTTCTCCGGTGTCCTTGACTGAATTGTGCTCATTCTGGTATGGTTTGAAAGATCTCTTCACTCTGCACAAGTTAGCGGAGAAAGTTGTCCTTGACCGTTAAAACTGATGACGTCACAAAGGGTAGAAAGGACCTGGATGCGCACGGCGGTTACGGGCGGTTCAGGGGCGAATGGGTTAACTCAACGCAAACAAATTTGAGCATGGGCGTTATGCACAGTTTTTGGCTTTCAATGCTTTACTATCATTCCAGTTCCAAAACAGTTCAGTGGAATTTACGAGCCTACGGTGACTCAGTGGCACATGATTCCGGCTCAAGAGTCTTGCAAGTTTGCAGCCGAATGGCCAAAAAAGGGCTGAAGATTTTGACTGAGCATAATTCACAGGAAGCCCACATTAGTAATTGACATTAAGTGAAAATGATTATTTCAATTTCATAGGGACTGATTTTTTATGTTTGTTGTTGTTGTTACGAAAGGAACAAAGACCTTCCTTAGCAAATTGACCACGATGGGGGACGTTTGGATTGTGACAGTTTCCCAGGGTCTTGAGTGGATCAAGAACCCAACAACGCTGGACAAGATTGAAGATTTTAAACCCTGGAAATGCGACACCACAGCCCCTCCTCCCTGCCCCGCTAGCCAGTGCAAAGAATGTTACTATGCCGACCGACAGCGCTTGATGAGCACATGCGCACCAGCATGCCCACCCAATTACCCATGGGTTGGAAACCCGGATGGAAACTAAACCGGAAGAGGAAATGATAATGCGACATTTGAACATCCTTAGGGTAGTACTGAGAAATAAAATAGGGACCTTACTAAACTACGACGGCGACAGCAATTGGAACGTCAAAAAAGCAATAGGTTTAATGAGCAAAACAATAACTCTTCAAGTGCATCACGCTTTTTTGTACATTTCTTTGCAGTCCCTGCATAACTAAGACTTGAAATGACCAAATTTTAAGTTTACTAGGGAACGGGAGCGGCAAGGCGATAAATTCTACAATCTCTGTCAGGACGTGAGCGCGGTCCCCTCTCTTCAGCTCCAACCCAAATTCCCTTCTTTTAGGTAACTCAGCCCCTTGGAATAATCGCCAAAAAAAAGTGAAAGGATGCGAGGTTCTATTTTTCAGCGACGTTTTCATGGACGTCGCCGTTGTCCGATCGTAAGGTCCCTAATAGCTACTCGACGGCACTACTACTATTGGTCAATTTTTGTTAGTTCATGTGCTGCCTGTGTAATGTGCACTATGTTTCAACTATTCAATTCAATTCTTTATTCACACTATATAAGATATTTACATAAGTGTACGTAGTAGGAAAATAAAGTAGCTGACAAATAATAATTAACTAAAAGACATTAAGTTCATTTGTGTACGATGTCCAAAGTAGCAAGAGCTTTCTTGTTGGACACCGTCATGTTGAAATAATTGGCAGCAGTAGAGAGGAATAAAATCTCAAATAATATCATTGATAGAACATATAAGCAAGGACTATGTTCCATCTCTTCCGCTTGTTCTTTGATTCTGTAATGGAGAATTAATTTAGTATAGAACTGATGCGGATTTTGTAGGTTGTACTTGAACAGGTTGTTAATCTTTTCTTTTCTCTGCCAGGTTTAGTCGTACTAATGTAAGACATATCGCTGAAAATTGTTAAAAGTTCCTTTATGTTTATGGAAGTTGCCCTCGTAGTACTGGTTGATATATTTCTTTTATATTGTGATCTGTAAAAATAAGAAATAGGCATTGAAATATTGTTTTGATAAGGTGCGTGGACAAAAGTATTGTTTTTCCGCCGACTGTGTCATTATAGCTCACTGTCGCCGTTATGCAATATAGATCTGAGATCATCCCCCGGGTTCTTGTTTGCGTTAATGTCTGTTAGACAGCAGTGAGAAAATGATTTGTTCTCGTTCCACTACTGAGAGTGATTAGAGAACCAACTGTGCTATGCAGGATCCCAAACCCCGGCGCAAGTGACTCCTATACTAATCCGTACTTAACGGCGTTTTCATAGACCAGTTTATTTTAGCATCATTTCAGGGTACTTCTACTTGCAAAAGTGGAAGTTCCACTCTGTATGGGTGCGCAACCATAGTATGCTATATGAAAAAGATAAAATTAAATATTATCAAAATATCACAAATACCATTTTCCGGTCTTAAGTTGTTGCCAACTGATTTCTATGATTTATTTGTGACTTATTTGATAGTCGAAATTTGTGGGGACGTCGATCCAAAAATAAACTGTTTAGTGTGTAAAAATGCTGCGACACGAGTTCAAGCAGAGGTAGTTGCTTGTTCCGGGTAATAGGCTCGTATCTGCATGATTCGCACGCATCAACGTTTTTTTTCAGATAATATCATTAAAAGTTCAATGGAAGATCAAACACGTCACAGTATTTTTGTCTTCTTTGTAACACTAACGCCATCCTCGGAGACCCAGGGGCAATTAAAGGGGGCGAGGGAAAGTCTAAACGGGCGGAAAAATATATATGGAACGAAGAAAAGTAAAGAACGGCGAGAAGAGCCCCTGGGGACAATGTCTTACCAGACCAGTTCCAAACGGTCGCCGCTGTTCTGGCTTCTGATTGGTGCCAGAAAAACAAGTCAGAAGCCAGAACGGCGCCGACCGTTTGGAACTGGTCTGGTAAGACATTGTCCCCAGGGGCTCTTCTCGCCGTTCTTTACTTTTCTTCGTTCCATATATATTTTTCCGCCCGTTTAGACTTTCCCTCGCCCCCTTTAATTGCCCGTTTAGACTTTCCCTCGTCCCCACTATCTGCCCTTGGGTCTCCGAGGATGCACTAACGCGTGCTCAACTCAAAGAGCCTTCAACCGTAAAATATATCACGGAAAATATACTCTGCAAAGACTAGGCGGGAATTACACCGTAACGTGGACGTGAGTCATAAGTAATGATGTTTTTAGTGCGATATGCCGCCTTGTTTACTCTCGCGCTTAGCCTTGTTTCGCATGCGCAATCGTTGGTTCGTGGCGATCCAGCAAAACCTTGCTACCCCGGCATTTGCAAACTTCCCGATTGTTTCTGTAGCGGCACGGAAATCCCTGGTAACCTATCCGTATCATCGATCCCTCAGATTGCATGTCTTCATCTCCTTTGATGCTTTTGTCAATTCTGCACCGTTTTTCTACTACGAAACGCTCTTCGATGGAAGCTTAAAGAACCCAAACGGATGGATGTCCGGGGAGGGTACTCGATATATCCTTGGGTGGGGAGGTGCGGCCCGGCCCCTCATACCCTGACCCTGTTTAAGACAAAAATCGCTGATTTTCCTGCCCTGTTTAAGGCAGAATTCCGATTTTTGATACCCTGTTTAAGACATTCGTAGAACATACGCGCAGGCTGTTTATCGTCCAAGAAAAGATACCCTGTTTAAGACAAAAACTGATAAAATCGATACCCTGATTAAGACAAAAAATGATAAAATCGATACCCTGTTTAAGACAAAAATTCCGAAAAACATACCCTGGCTGGCAGCACGTCCCCATTGAGCCCTTATAAGGGAGTACCCCCCCGGGGGGTAATATCGCGGCTACATTCACTAATTATTGTGAGGTTCAAGATCTGTACAGTCAACGTCACGAAATCGGGGACAATTCGATATCTCGCCTACTACCCTCTTCATGGTCGGCAAACGCTACCCAAGAAGGACGGAGAGAGGAAATATTAGGGATGAGGGACATTCTGAGAAAATGGGGAAACGTGAAGGCTGAAGATGTTAAGGGTTACCGGGCTCCATACATCCAAGTCGGTGTAAACATGGAGTTTAAAGTACTGAAGGATTAAAGTTCCTGATGAGATGAGGAAGTAATCTCCATCGTCACCAGGACTCGCCGAGGCATCTTTTGAACAGGCACGCCGTGAGAATAATCACAATATTATCCAAAGCGTGCGTATTACAGTTTTCTCTTCTAGCCCCAATCCCTTCTAAATCGGGTCTTTCCTACTGCTAGATTCGTTTTGGGCAGCCCCGTCTAATAAGTACCGTTCTTGGTACTTCCTCGTTTATTTTAGCGAAGAAAAATAACTAGCTACGGGGAAAAGCGCACGGCAAGCGTTGTGTCAGTAACACAACCTGAGAATTTTTTATTGTGGTTTTCTTAATTCGTTGAGCTCAAGCAAGTTTTTGCGAACAGGAATTTGCATTGGGTTATAGCGACTCACATCCTCTGACAAAACAGTAGTTTTAAAACGATTGTATTTCGATTATGTGGTCAGTTAAGAAGAAGATAGGTGAGAGACAACTCCGGCCGGACAACTGGAATTAGTGGCTTTTGATACATCAAAATTTCAATTGCATCTAATTCATTTCCATTGCATTTTTGACTATAATGATATTATTGATAAAAAGATATGTTATTGTTATTGATATATAATTGCAACCTTCACTTACATGCCACTGTATAACAATCCCGGGGGGGGGGGAGACTCCGCATATGAAAGGGGTGGAGATGCTCATCGTCTCGCTTAAGGGGGTAAATTTCGGATTTTAGTCTTACTTAGGGTGTTCTGGGCAAAACGGTTTCATATTTAGCCGTGAGGGTCTCGTTAAGGGTTGCACGCGAAAAAATATAAAAAAATGTGTATCGTCTGCGTTTTAACATGGTCTCTTTTAGGGGTCAAAAAAAGCTTGGGCCACGCCCAAATCGGTCTCCTTTAGGGGTTTAATTCAAACTTTCCGACGAGCATCTCCACCCCTTTCATATGCGGAGTTCCTCCCCCGGGATAACAATATACTTCCACAAGGCTGCCACCTACCTTTGCTGTAAGTTTGCCACAGGAAGGAACTGTTTACGTATTGGTCTCATCCAGGACTTAACCGGCGACAGGTTTCCTAAGAAACCAATTAACATTGCAGCCCGACATAGCGCTTTCAAGACGAGCGTCATGGTACTATTAGATGCCAGTGTTTTTCTAATGATATAGGAGGAGATAATATAAACTTTAGACAAGACCAGTCAGACCAGTCGAGTCTTAGGACCTTGTCGGTTATCGGCAACAAAGAAAAAGTCAGAGTGTCATAACTGAGGATGTCTTCATTGCGAATTGGTGCGTTGTTTTCTCTCACTCTTGCTCTTAGCCTTATATCCCAGTCGGTTGTTTGTGGCGATCCAGCAAACCCCTGCAACCCCGACATTTGCAAACTTCCCGATTGTTTCTGCAGTGGCACTGAAATCCCTGGTAATTTACCTGCATCATCGATCCCTCAGATTGTCTTCATCTCCTTTGATGGTGCCTTTAATAATGATCTGTATGATCCAGACGACTTAAAGGATTTCTTCAATGACGACGGCTTAAAGACCTTAAAGAACCCAAATGGATGTAATATCTCGGTTACATTCTTTCTATCTCATTTCTACACCAATTATTGCACGGTTCAAGATCTGTATAGTCAGCGTCACGAAATCGCCGTCAATTCGATTTCTCGCCGACTCCCAAAATCATGGTGGGCGAACGCTACCGTAAAAGAGCAGACACAGGAAATAGGAGGTATGAGGAGACTTCTGCAAAAAATGGCACATGTGAAGGCTGAAGATGTGTAAGGTTACCGCGCTCCATACATGCAAGTTGGTGGTAACACAGAGTTTAAAGTACTGAAAGACTTGGGATTTCTGTATGAATCTTCAATGCCAACACGAAACTTTATAGATCAGCCACTTTGGCCATATACACTTGACTATCGCTCAACTCAGGGTTGCGAAATCCAGCCCTGCCCAAC